ATATATATATATATATATATATATATCATGGCGACGCAGAGAAAACACGGAAGTGCGAGGTGTGTGCGAAATGGGTTGGTGTGTGTGCCTCAGGCTCATGAGAATCGCGTTCGTTTCCTTCTACGGCCGCTTTGGCCTTCCTGTGGCCTTCCGTGTACCGATGCTTTACGCCATTGGGCGTCCTCTTCAAGTACCTCAAGTGGACAAACCCACGCATGGGGTCTGTCGCCTGGTTCTTTTCCTGTGTTTCTCTTGCTCTGCTTGTTGCACAGGGGTTATCATTATTAGGCACTCTACTAGTTTGGTGCTATTACCACCATTAGCTTCATAGCTGTGATGTTGGCGGAACGCAGCAAGTCATTCCTAAACCCTAATCCCTACACCTCTGCTGGTGACGAACCCCCAGTATTAGTTTCCACTTTCTTGTCTCTGCACGGTCCGCAGGAAGTTGCGGCTGCCCATAAACTTCTCGTGGCTGAAGTTCGACGCCTTTTTGACACTTACAAAGGTGTTTACGGCTGGGCCAACAGGCAGCTGGAGATCCTTTAGATGCAAACACGCATATAATACTCGCCACAAGATTCTCCTCGTGACTCAGCAAGGCTCAGAAGGGTCCTAACGGGCAAATAGAGACCCTCAAGCGGCATGCAAGGTCTCCAAGATTTCTATAGAGCTTTGCGAGCACCGCCAAACCCTATTTTCACGGGCCTCCGGGGCTCATTGTGCCCCCAGATCGCCCTGGGGCCCCTGTACGATCTCATGGAGCCGCTCACTCACGATAAAATCCGTGTGTATGCAGGCTACATTTGATATTGACCTGCGCAAACCTGTTCTGCCTGCGAAGGGACGGGCAGGCTGTCACTATGGGTGTTTCATTATGAAGCTTATTTGCGCCGTGGTGCCCTTGACTTGAGCTTTGACTCGGAATACTTTTTGATGAGGTGCATCCGCCACCCGCAAATTTGTGTTATGGTACTGCATAGCGGAGGGCGGCACACAGCGTGCATTCACCTTACACCACTACAGAGCGCACTATAGCCATTAAGAAGCTATCTGACCTACCAGTGGTGCCCACCCAATATACACCATTAGAGAGTCAGAGATGCGTTGCACTGAAATTCCCCTCCCCCTGTAGTGGTTTCTGTTCAATACAGGAGACAGTCCGGGCCCCGTGGAGGCCCCAACGCGCGTGTGGCTTTTTTCAGTTGTTCTGCACCACCAGCATATAATTTCTCCACTTGCAGCAATATAGGCGGATGCCCTCTTTTTAGTGGTGCCTTCGATGAGGTGAACGGCCGCAGATAGGCTGTGGGATATAAGAAACAAACCTGCACCTAACGCGAAAAATGCAATGCTCGCAAAAAGTTACTTGCAACCCTCTCCGGACAAATATCTACTGCAGTTTAGCAATTGCTGAAAACAAATTAATGCACGAATTTCTCATTCACAGTAGCGGCGAAGCGGAAAAAAGAAAACAATTCTGAGCGGTTGAGTGCAACAGCCACATCATCAGTAGCAGCTATGGATGCAGAACTATCCCTGCTGCCGCTGCTGCTGCTGTTTTTCTGGCTGCTGTTGCTGCTGCTTGGGCACAACGGGTTCTCTCATGAGGGGCTGGTAGTGAGCATATTTGAGTGCGAGTTGATCCCACCCCTTGGGAAACTCCCTCTCCGACCCCCAGCGGCCGTCCCCCCGAATGGCCTGTAGAGACAGCCGAAGGCTCTCAGAGGAGTACTTAGGGAGACGCAGCGGCGGCCGCGACCGCCTAAACCAACGCAAAGCCAACAGCTGGGATGGCAGAGAAGGCCGCCACAAACCCTGAGATGGTTCAGAAAGAACAAGCAGAACAAATACCGTTGCGGAGTTGTAGAGGTGCTCATACACGCATAAAACAAAGTAAACAAACAAGAACGGCTGCGAAATCAAACGAAAATAGCAACAAGCAAGTGAGGATGAGAGTCGGCCAATGGTTTATACAAAATCAAACGCCAATAGACCACTGAAGTAAGATACATAAATAGATGCACGCACTGAGGCCTCCAGAGTACTGACGCACATATGTTGTAGGCCATTTGTCTATCTACTGCCTGTCTCCATATAATCTGTCATTTCATCTGTTTTTTTCCACCTGGCTTCCTCGCCGTTTGCTGGTGACACCTCATGTGAATGAATAGAGGTCTAGAGTCAAAAAAGGCGAATGCCCCTTCTAAAATTGAGCTATGCAACTAAACAGGTATAAGTGAGCAACCCACATAGAAATAAAACACAGCAAAAAAGCCTCCCTGTTGTTTTCAGCTGCATCAATCCAGCATGCATCAGCAGTATCCATACAACAACAAATATTACTTCCTTGCTATTATTAAGTGCATGCATCAGGAGCATGCACGCCATCACAAATACTGTTACAAACTTCTACACATAGTAATATGTAACAAATATTTTCATGCGTGTTTTCACCTGTATAGAGCGTCTTTCCGTCCAGACTTTCGGGCCCCCGTGTTTGAGGAAGTGGTTGGGCCCCGAGCTGTCTCTGTGCAGTTGTAGCAGCTCTTCCAGCTGCCGCGGCTGCAGGTTGGCTAATGGAGTTTCAGAACGGGCACCTGATCTAAACACAAATGTCGCCTGAGGCTGCGCGTACTTGTCCTGCTGCAACACCACCTCAACCTGCAGGGGTTGCACAAGCAACAGCAGCACAAGCAGTACTTACACCACCAGCAACGGCACTGCGCGCGAAGTGTTTTACCCACATTGCCTGAATGCAGCGCTCGTGGCTGTTGCAAAAGCCCCCAAATCACATCTGCTTTCCGGGAATAGGCAGTCTAGTACAAATAATGCACCTAAATACGCACAGGCCCTGCTGCACTTCTAAGCTTACTCACGACCTCGACAGCATATTTGTACATACACCTCAACAGCAGATGCATTAAGTAACTGCCTACAGCCACCATCTAGAACAAAATATGCGGGGAAAGGGTGTGGCCACAAACCTGGGGATTTCGCTGCTCCCAACTGGGCAGCAAATGCTTCAGGTAGAAACGCACGCCGCTGCTGCTGTAGCCGGTCTCGCTGTATCGCAGAAGCACCTGCTGCAGCTGCCACACCCCTCTTTCGCACATGTTGCTATTGCTGCTGCTCAGGAGAGGCTTCAGGTCAGGTTTGACTCGTTCTCGCACTGCTGGCCCCCATGGGGAGGAGCTGTTGTCCGTGTCCTTGCGCCTTTGGTTAATTATGCTTTAAACTGCTTTACCTCTGTTGCTCCCCCTTCTTAGGAATGATTCGTCTGTCTCTTCGTCTGTCTATCCCTCTGTGTCGCTTCTTTTGTCGGATGCTGCCTGGGCCCCTTGCGGCGGTCGTGGCGTAGGAGATTCCACAACGCCCCCCATTCAAGTCCACCCAAGTTTGCTTGTGTGTTGTTCAACGACTCTTTGAAATGAATCCTGTTTCTGCTGCTGGGCAGATGAAACTCTTAGAGGCAGTCAGGAAACTCGACACCAAGACGAATACCGTGCCGAGCCGTGTTGGACTTACTGGGCAGTTCGGCGCGCATGGCGGAGTCTAACCGACTACAAAATGGCAGCGAATCAACATATCCGCCATTTGAAATAATATAGATCAAGGACTTCAGAAAAAACCTGGAAATGTCCCTTTCCCAGTGGCGGCGGGCGAAGGAAGCGCTCATGCAGACCCAAACGGCCGATCTGAAGCCAGCGGCGTCCTGTGACTGAAGTTGAAATGTTGCGACAGTACATCATGAAGCGCATTAAACATAATACACAATCACTTGATAAGAGTTGGCTCTTCGAGATGCAGAGAGAAAGAAGGAGGTAATCACGCCGCAAAAAGAAGTTGCACGTGCGTACATTGCAAGGAAGCAAGCCGATGCTTCATTGGAGCTCCAAACCGGCCACTTCTTGAGCCAGATTGAGGCTAACTAAGAAAATACATATTTGGTTTTCTTAGATTTCCCCAAAACGAACGGAGTTCCACCATGAATAGCCTCAAAGCACTACTCGCGCTGCTGCTGGCGATCACCACTGTTGCATGCGCAAAGGCTGCAGCAAGCGAAGAGGAGTCCTCCCCATTCAACTACATCACAGCGGTAAGTACAGCACTACCGATACACAGTCTTTGCGGCAGTTGCAGCAGCAGCAGCAGCTGCTGCTGCTGGTGCTATGGTTTTCTCAAAGGCCTCCGGCTTCTGCGTAAGCCATGAAGCGAATGCCACACTATACGCGTGATGGTAATTCTCGTCTTTTGGCGTCAGTTCTGGTTGGAGTGCAAATATTATATCACCAGCAACCATCCAGTTTCCAGGGTCTAACACTATTTGGAGCAGCAGTCCGCAGCTGCTCCTGCTGCAGCTGCTGTTGCTGAGGGCAGGCGATGATCAGCGGATAACGTGACTCTATGTATAGGAGGTGTACGGTATGTGGCTAGGTGATTAGACACCTGCGCAATGTATGCGTGCTTGTTTTGCTTTATCAGAACTTGCTGGCCCAGCTGTTGATTATGTTGATTTTGTTCCTTGGGAGTTGTATTGGCGTCTGCTGCCTAATGAAGATCGACACGCCCTCGACCTTCTCTGACAAGCCTCTCGTTATCAACAAGGAATACTGATTGGTGCTGAGAGCCACCGGTTTGTTGCAGCAAGGAGGGTCACGGCGCCCGGCCGGTGCGGCTCCTGCGGCGGCTGCAGCAGATGTTGCACCGGTTGTTGCAGCTCTTTCAGCAGCTGCCGATCTGCTGCGGCTACTGCTGCCGTTACTGTTGCTGCTGCGGCTGTGCAGGGGCGTCCGAGCACCTTGAATGCGGCCCTGCTGCTGGACGTGTCTGAGGGGGGTTCCCCCGATGCAGCAGTAGTCTGCATTACGATGCCTCCTTACTGGCGGTATTAACGCCTCTAAAAGAGGTTTGCGTCTGCTGGCGTTCTTTTTGGCTGTCTCCGAACTGAGAGACGAGGGCCTGAGCATCAGTTCAGGGGACTCAAACTGCTCCTGTGTGCAGCGGCACAGACAGACGGTGCATAAGTTGCTGAACTTGCATGAAGCAGCTGCCCTTTACGGTGTATCTATCTTATTTTGAACTTCACTGTTGATTTCTTCGTTTCTGATTTTCTTGCTGCACCAACTGCTCGCAGAAGAGGTTCCACGGCTTGCATACCTTCCGTTCGCCAGCTGCATGAGAACAGTGGAGTTGGGGAGTTTAGAGTGTAGTCGTTGTTGACCATCCTCTGGAGGCAGCAGACCTCGAGCGACCGCACACGGTTGCATTTCGGGCTGCAGGCTGCTGCAACAGAAGGGTGGGCCATTGGCTCTCCGTTGTCACGAGGAATTCATTTATAAGTTCAGCTTCACAGTGGAGGACGAACCGTTTTGTTAGCCGCAGCTAGCCACAGCCGGTTGCGAATGTTGGTATCATGCTTGTCCCGCTGTCTCAACTTTCCACAACACCTGTTGAAGCAGCCCGAGAGGAGCAGAAGGAGCAGCAGCACGAAAGGAAGGCCTTCCCAGTCAGCTTCTGCTGCAGCTCCTGCAAGCTTCGACATCCCGTCTGACAGCCCGACAAGCAATGCATGCTCACCAGTTCCTTTCGTTGCACTCTAATCGCCAGTGTTGCTTGCCAGAAAACCGGAGGGGCTGCCTTTGGATACACTTTACAGGCTTTAGGCCCCAATATTTGAATATCGGAACTTGGGAAGCCAACAGGGAGGAAAAGGTAAAGTTTCCTAATTTAGGAAAGTAGGCTAAGGACTTCATCTAGCTGCAGCCTTCCACTTCTGCAGCTTTGTGCGTCTGAAGTGGATAGTGTACAGGTGTGCATGCCAAGGAAATGTGAGTTATCTAGGGCGTTTGTACATGCAGAGGAAGGGACTTTGTTGGGTTTCGTGCGCATCTGGGTCGTCTTGCAGCAGAAGTTGTAACAAAGTGCTGCAAATGTACCTGCGTTTTCTCTTTGCACCGGCCCCGCCAAGTGCTTGATGCGGTCAGGCAGCCTAGGAGGTGAAGGGTAGCTCAGAGCTGCTTTCTCAGAAGTATATTATGAGCAGTATATCGACCTGTTGCTGCTCACCGCGATGGGCGGCCTAAGCTTACACTTAATACACACTCACACATCCCACAGGCGGTGGGTTTCTAAAGGTTTTCGTCTCCAGTTGCTTCCGCTGTTATGTTGTTCCTGCTTGGGAGTAAATCAATAAAAAAAGCAACCCAGGGATTTAAAGGCCCCGCAGAATGCAGGAATTGCTTTTGAAAGGAAGGATGCACGCATGAAACAACCGCGCAGGACAGCGCAAAGGCGTCATCGAATTATTCGATCCTTGCCCCGCATTTGTTTCCTACTTGTGTTGCTTATAGAAGCACTTACGTTTGAACGTCTTTGGAAATAAAAAATATTGGCATCCAATGCAGAAGGTACGGCAGGCTGTGGGCTGCGCTGGCTCCTGTGGGGCCCCTCGGGGGCCCCCCCCCTGGTTCTCGAAGGCCCGCGCTCTCGAGGCAAAAGTTCGTTTAGCTGTAAAATGCATCATCGAATTCATCAAAGTATCAATTCGCACCTACCGTTTGAAGGCGAGAAGGGTACCTCCTTCTGCAGTGAGGGTTGCGGGACCTGCAAGCCAAACGGAAGTATTCGGGGAAAAACCAAGAAAGTCAGCCGATAAACTGCAGACAGAAAGAGCCTCGTTGCACGCGCATGCGCATGTGCCCACCGCAGCAGTCAACGTGTGCATGCAGGCACAAGTTTGAGGTACTCCTCGTGCGGCGCCTTCCCAACGCTGGCCGCTGCTACAGTATAAGGCATACTTGCACATGCGCATATACGTAGAACAATGTTCTTCGTGTGCATGTATGTATAGCTAATACATATGCGCATGCGTAGTTAAAGAATGGCGCCGCCTGGGACCCGCACAAGACGATGAATAACCCCCTCCACTCAATACCAAACGCGGGCCTCTAAGGCTCCACTGGTGGCTATGCGGATGTCGCCGGGGGCCGTCTGGCTCCTGAGGAACACAGCAGCTACACGCATGCATTGCGTCTCTTGCACGCGCCCCCGCATTTGGCTCACCGCTGCAGCACCTGCTTGCTGGTCTGGAGCAGCAGCAGCAGCACCTGCTGCTGCTGCTGCTGCTGCTGCTGCTGCCTCTGCCGCACCTGATCCGCTTGCTGCTGTGCAGAAGGGGGCACATGTGCCTTCTGTAGGGCTCCTGCAGGGGCCCTCCAGCAGGTGTAGCCTTTCCTCCACGGTCTATTCTTCCGTTCTTGTGCATTGTCTCTGCTCTCTGCCCTTTGCAGCCACCTCCCGGGCTGCTGGTGCAGCGCCTTGCATGCTGCCATCTCTGGGACTTCACTGCTGCTCCGCACACCCAGCCACCAGGTACAGTCGTGGTTTGGCGACAGTTACGCCTTCGCGCAACAGCCGCAGCAGCAACAGAACCACCTGCAACAACACCGGCTGTGAGAAACCAAGAGAGGAGCACCTGCCACAATCCGGTGGCCAAACTTCTGCTTGCAGCACTCGCCTGGGCAGCAGCAGCAGCAGCACGATGAGGCGCGGCAGCAGCAACAGCGACAACCAAGGGAACAGCGTTCCCCTGTTTGTTGCCGAGGCTCCGCAGTTTAACGGAGAAGCGGACGCACCAAAAAGCCTTTGGAGACTTCTTGCTTCTGCCTTGTGGCCTGCAAGTCGTTGTCTGAAGGCGAGGGTTGTGGGTGCAGTGGCCTCTCTTTTGGTTGCGAAATGTCTCACCATTGCAGCTCCTGTGGCCTTGGCGAGTCTCGTAGACCACTTCACACAGACAGCTGCAGCAGAAGCCACTCAAGCCGCAGCAGGAGCAGCAGCTGCTGCTCCTGCTGCTGTTGCTGACGCCGCAGTGGGGACTACAGGAACGACCTTCCCCGGGGTCTGGCTGCACCCCGCGCTTCCGGTTGGGCTAGTCATGAGCTACCCTTTGGCCAGACTGGGGGCCTCAGGTAGGGAGGCCACATAAAGAGCAGCATTCATACAGCAAGCGGAAAGAGCATTTTCTGAGGCTTATGTGTGCGCCTGACTCGGCTATTGCTGTTTTTGCTTGTGTGTGGTGCTGCTTTGGCTGCGGCTGCTGTCGCTGCAGCGTTCACGGAGTTGCGCACTGCGCTTTTCACTCGGGTGTCTCAGAGGGCCTCGCGAGAGTTGGCTGCCACGGCCTTTGCCCACATGCATGCCACTTCTTTCAGCAGCAACAACAAGGTATTGGTTGTGCGGTTGTTGCCGTTGCTGCTGTTGCTGCTGTTATGGCTTGGTGCGGCTTGCATGCGCCCTCCCATCTTCTGTGCGCTAGCCTAGGTCGGTTGCATGTTGCTGCAGCGGCAGTTCTAGTGCTTTTGTGCGCTGCTGGTGCAGGTGGGCGAGCTAACGGCTGTCTTGACTCGAGGGACGAAGGCGATTTCGCTGCTTCTGAATGTTCTGTTGTTTCAGGTAAGCGCTGCATGCAGCACATGAGGCATGGGAGGTGTCTGCTGAGCCCGCTGAGTATGCAGATGCGTGCTGCCCCTCCTGCTGCTGTCCCTGCTCGTGCTACAAGTGGTGCCAGCCTTGCTGCTTCAGATGCTGCTGCTGCGGCTGCAGGTGGTGCCCACAAGTTTGGAGTTTTTGATGGTGTTGGTCCTCTTGAAGCTGCGAGTTGGTTGGACTGTAGCCGCAACTGCCGTGGTCACCATATCGGCGTACTGGGCTTTCACAGCCGTCGTCACCACCCGCAGGGCCAAATTGAGACGCGAGATGAATCGCCTAGAGGGGCTCAGCGCTGGTGCGAAGCGCACTACTAAGATCAATTGCCAAAGAGTAGTCGAGGGGGAGGGCAGGGGTTAGGTTGCCTCTACAAGGGCCTGCGTGTCCTCCATATGCTCGAAGAGCGTCTAAGGGACTCAAAACGCTTCTAGCTGTAGGGGTGTGCAACGGGCTTTTAAGGGCCCTGAGGGCCTCGAGAACGTCTAGGGGTGTGCAGAAAGCTGCCGACTCAATGGGTTTCGTCTAGAGGTTCATTTTGTGTCTTTCGAAGTGCTTGGCCCCCTCAATCGGTTGATTGAGAGCTGTTGCAGCTAGAGTACGGAATTAGTTGGGGCGGCGTTTCAGCATTGTTTTTCTTGTGTCAGGGCTTCTGGTGGACTCGCTGGGCAACGCGGAGGTGGTGCGCTACTTTACGGCGGAGGCGCAGGAGGCGGAGCGTTTTGGGGCAGTGCAGCGTCAGCTGGAGAATCAAATGACGAAAGTGAATGAGTCACTGGCCCTCCTCAACTTCGGGCAGCAGCTCATCTTCACCGGCGGCCTCGCTCTCGCCCTCTTGCACACTGCCAACCTCGTCGCCGCAGGGGCCGCCCCTGTCGGCCAAATCGTTCTCGTCAGCACGTTGCTCCTGCAGGTGATCCGTCCAACACCTCCTGTGCCCGCATACGTGCCTGGCATGCTTGTACACCTGCATGCATGCATCTGTTCGTGCATACTTCCCTGCGTGCATGCGTGTACGAGGGATAGGCATGAAATTTAGCGAATGGCAGCAGGTCCAACACTGCCGCCTTCACGTCGTCCGCACCGACAGCATCCCTTTTAGTCCGCGAGGATGAGGAGTTTCCGGCTGCTTACTTGTGTGGGTGCGGTTTTTCCCATTCTCTCTTGTCCGCTTGCTGTACTTCGTGCCTTAGTGGCTACGCAGATGTGTGGGGGTTCTGTGCCGCAGCTGGCCATACCTCTTAACTTTATTGGGACTGCCTACAGAGAACTGACGGTTAATACTATAGACTTGGAGAAGCTACTGGAGGTGCTGCAGTTGCAGCCGCTCGTGCAGGACCCTCCGAACCCGGTTGCCTTTCAGATGCGAGGCGGTGCTGTGGAGTTCAAGGACGTAAAATTCGCCTATCCCCCCTCCCACTCTTTGGATCAGCTGCCTGTACACCCGGTGCCTCAAAGGCGGGAATTGCGAGAAAAACAGGACCCCACAGCTGCGAGCGGTGTAGGCAAGCTGGTCTTAGATGGATTTTCGCTTCAAGTGCCAGCCGGCAGCCGAGTGGCCTTGGTAGGGGAGTCGGGCTCAGGCAAGACAACGCTGATTCGCCTGTTGTATCGTCTGGCGGACCCTCTTAGCGGCGTCGTGTCGATAGACGGGCAGGACCTCAGGACTCTCCCTATTATGTCATTTAGGTGCATTGCACTTTGCATTCCCATCACGGGTGCTCTAAGGAAACCGATTCTGACACGCAGCTGCTCGACAGTTATACTTATATACGGAGAATATGCGGTTTAGTGATGTTTTTTTCTGAGGTGGTGCCCGGCCTCTGCTTTTGTCAAATAGAGCGGAGGAAGTAAAGGCGAAGGGAACGAGGGTGAGGGGCTTGAGAGAAGCATGAGCGGGAGTGGTCTGCTGCTGCTGTTGCGCGCGCTGGGCTTTGTGCAGGCAGCGCATTGGGGTGGTCCCCCAAGACGTTGCTCTCTTCAACGAGTCCCTTGGGTTTAACCTACGTTACGGAAGCCCACACGCCACAGACGAACAAGTCAAGGTGCCTTAAGACGATTCGTTGCTGCAACCGAAGGGCCTGTTTGCTGTTGCTAAGTGCCCGTACCCCTGGTGGACTCATCATCTTTGCAGGCAGCAGTTCAGGTGTTCTTTGTTGGCGTTGTTTTGCTGAGCGTTCGATTATCCGTGTTTGCATTCCTCTTCCTCATCCCGTTTTTCATTCTCGGGGTGAACCGCAAGTCACGGCAGAAGGGCGCCGTGTCTCTACTTATTGCTGGAGTAGTGCAGCGGCCGCTGTGCGCAGGAGGCCATCCGCATGGCGGAGCTGACAGAATTGGTGGAGTCGCTTCCCGATGGGCTCAACACGCCCGTGGGGGACCGCGGCCTTCGGCTAAGCGGAGGGGAGAAGCAGCGTGTGGGAATCGCGCGGTGTCTGCTACGCAACCCGGAGATCGTTTTGTTTGACGAGGCGACGAGCGCCCTGGACCTCCACACCGAGCACAAGATCCTTAAGGTCTGTTTCTCGTCCTCTTGTAAATTGTGTGTGTGTGGGTGCACCGGCCAAGAACCTCCACATCTGTTGATTTGTACATCTATAGCCGAGCATGTTCATTTATGTATCATATGCACTTTCGTGCGCTAGTTGAAGGGAGTTGGGTTCGACAGCCAGTGACTTGTAGGGGGCACCTCCTCCACTGTCGTCGCCACTGTCGTCGCGGGGGTGAAGACAGTCCCTGTCTGTATGGGCTGTTTATATGCAAATACCTTATTTACAGGCTCTGCAAGCGATTTCCCGTGGCCGCACTACTCTTGTGATTGCCCATCGCCTCTCCACAGTTGCGGGGGCTGACACAATCGCTGTGCTCGACAGAGGCAAAGTCGCGGAGATCGGAACGCATCAGCAACTGCTGCAGAAGCCCAACGGGTTGTACGCGTCGATGTGGGCCCGACAGGTCAGCGCCCCGCCCTGTCTGTGTGCATCTGCTTCCTCGCTGTCTTTCATGCAATTTCTGCTGTATAATTGTAGATTTGGACAGCTGGGCGAGTCGACAGCCACATGCAGTTTCTTTTGATCCGTTTCCGCCACATTGTACAGTTCGAATTGCTTGTCTTGTGCTGGCAGCAAGAGGGCCAAACGGGGGAAACCTTAAGCTCCAATGATTGATAGTCCTCATCTTCTCATCATCGAACATCGTCGCCCTTTTCATGCCCGGCAAACCCCTTTCCAAAGGCATGCAGCCCAGACGGTCGGAGATATTTGGGCTGGCATGCCCGGCAGCTACTGTGGGCGTTATCTGCATATCATTGGGGACAGAACAGAAGTGGTGCGGAACTGCTAACACTTTTTCTGGAACCATGCAAAAGAAGTCCCTCCTCTTGTATGCCCAAAACTGTATCGCCTTCGTACACTCTATATAAACTGTACATTTGTTTTGTTTATCTGCACATATCTCCAGGCGTGTTTTTGCACATGCATTAAAGAACACACGCGGACCAGTTGCATGGATTAGACATTTGAGCATTGGAGCTCGCTCCAACGACCCCGCGGCCTCACCATTTTGCGAAACTGGTGAATCACCGCACAGTGCACATGCTCCTGCCACTGCTACACACCAAGTGCTTGCCACCAGCAAAAGCTGCCTTTGAGGATTCCTACGAGTAGGAGACGTTTTTTGCCTAGAGAATCGACTGCAAGAGGCGTTCCCGAACACACATGAAATTCTGGCTGCAAGTTCAATGTGCTTCAGTCAGAGTGAATAATAGACGCCTGTGGGGTTCACACACCATTCAAGAATATGTCCGTGCTGCTGAGTGCGTCTAGCTGGTACAATGGTAGACGGAATGGTAAACGTCAAGCCGTCATCTCCTTGATGCGTGAGGACTTGAGTGCTGCAAGCAACGAAGCAGAAGTGCATGCACTCTGTCAAGTGCTTGCAGTTCTGCTTCGTTGCTTGCAGCGCCTCTGCACTGCATAGGAGGTTCCTTGCGCCTTTTTGCACCTTTCCTCCTGTGTTGCCGCATTTACTGCCCTATTGCAGAGGATGTAAATTCCATTGGGAACGCTATGCCGTGCAACCTCTCACCGTTACCCGGCGCATTGACCCCAATAGCATTGCTGCAGACCCCGTTTGCGCCCTTCTACTGAGCTTGCTATGCTTTGGCCTGGCGAACTCGTCCAACATTGTAGCCCCGTAGCATGGTAATATGAGTCCTTTCTGTATTGAGCTCGTCATTTTTAGTCCAATGGATTTACCAATTCTGGTGTAGTTTTTGCCATTGGCGACATATGCCCCAGAGAGGTAGGTTGCACCCCCTCCTTGTAGCTTCGGATTCCCGCTACACTTCACAGCGTCTGTGAAGTTGCACTAGCAACGTCTGACCAAGCATATGATTTTGGGTAAGAATCAAGTGAACTTGCAGCGGATCTGCAGGCGCAACTATCACATCTTCGGGCCGCATCGCTGCTTCGCACGTCGTAGGGGACCACGGCGTGCACCTGATCGCTTTGTTTGTTCCCCTGGCAACGCTGCTCCAAGTATTGCTTCTACAGTCCCTTGGCTGTCTTCATGCCTCTGCCGTCCTGAATCAAATGACCTTGTTTGCTGTACAAGGAGCAGACGCACCGCTGCTTATGTCGTCCTGGCTTTCTGGGAGCCGAATTCCCCGGGTGCGGTCGATTGCCGTTTTTTTTTCTCCTGGGCGGGGCTGCTACTCAGCCCCAACATCCATGGGCTTAATACCTGGGTCGTTTCCAAAGCATTTGTGGATGTGGCATTTTTTGTTCTTTATGTCGCGAATGCTTCGTCATCTCTGCGAGTTCACCCTTTCCAAGTTTCCCCCACGCTGCCCAGCTGGTTATCGGTTTCCTCTGCTGCAGCAAGCCCTGTTGTGAACAATTGATATAGATGCTCCTACCCTACCATTGGACTTGACTTCCCTATGGACTTTTTCTTGTCGATGTGGCACTCGGCTGATAGCTTCTCTAGTTTTCTGCCACAGCCTGCTCTCTTGAAGACCAGGGAATAAACCTACATCGCAGTGCATTCCGGAAGGCTCCCACAGTCTCATATTCTTTGGAAAAGTGTTATAGTAGCTTTTTTAATAACCACTATTGTCGTGCCTCCCCTTCAAATGGCTATGATGTCTGTAACAACTGTAGCTCCTCGTGTACCTTTGAATAAGTGACTACACCTCCAGAGAAATAAGGAGCTCCAAAACTGGTCCCGCCAACTGAAAAGCGGCTCTACTCATGTCTGGATGGTTGGAAAATGCGGACGCATTCTTTACAAATTGTTTGTTTTGTTCTGAAGGCATTTTCTGATGGATTGGTACAGTTACTGAGGTGGTGTGGAGGTGACAGGGTTCCCAATCGTTGGCCGCCTTCCTGCCAAAGGGAAGAACCTCATCAATTCCCGTGATGGATGGAAACGGAGGAAAGGGCTGAGTTTCTGAGAAATATTTGAGGGAAGTTTACTTAATTCTTTTTCTAATTCTAAACCATTGTGGGTACGAGTCACTGCAATAAGGTTTCCCTGCTGTGCGGGTGTGGACTGTTGCTGTCGCCTATCCCGATGAATCATGTGGTGCTACCGAGAATAGTGAGAGTGCACGATCTTTTGCGAGGACCATCGTGAGCTGTGATCAAGCCAAAAGTCCTATGGTAAGAGTTCCTGAACAACGGCTGATCTCCTCTGCATTCTCCAGGCGTTCTGGGCATGGCGTCCCAAGGGCCTGGGGCAACGAAAAGGAGAAGCTTCCTGCCATGTGTTGGAGCGTACCTCGCCGCAGCTAATGTTGCAAGTTGTCTTCGCATTTATGCGCCATTAAGCCCCTTCCTGCCGTTTACGCTGACACTGTAGATAGCTTGTGTCCTTCTACTTACGTACAATCCGCCAACTAAGGCGAACTAAGTATTCACGAAGTTCGTTCAAGTATCAACTCCGGACGGACCACCCCAAAGCTCTGGACCACCAGTAGCGTCGCTTCAATTCCCTCCCTACCAATGAGCACCAACGTGATAGAAGCAAGAAGTCCGCTTCATCTTCACAAAACTACTACTGCATATATTGTATTATATTGTGTATTAATAGACGTGTACTTAATCTAAAAGCGCTGCACATACCCCCCCCTCCTACCGCACGCCGCACGGTAGTTCTTTCACGAGACCATTGGACGCGGGGTGGTCTCACACGCCACAGTGGCGGATCACCGCTAAATAAGGACCAGTGCGCAAAAACACTATCTTATTTGGCCACCCTGTCTCACCGTAGTGTGCCAGATAACTTAAGTGATTGAAGCCGCCTCCCCGGGGATTGGCGCGATAATAATACCTACGCGTTGGACAGTCCACTTCGATGCAATTCGCAATCCCTGCATTTCTTTATTTGGACGCCCTTGACCTGTAGTAATACTTATCCCCCATCTTTCCTGATTTTTAGTTTACAGATGTGTTACCCCAATGCCCTATCTTAAATCTCTACCAGCTCTGCAAGTCTGGTGGCATGCAGCAAGCAATGAGATGCGCCATTCTATGTCTCGCTGCTCTTCCGGTTGGGGAGGGCGTCGACGGCGCTCCACGCCGATTATGAATTAATGAATCTTTCCAATGAGTAGTTCACTGCTTTAATTCACTTTAGCCTCAGTTTCTGAACTTCCACTCGGTCAAAATGGCACCTGTCAAAGTACTTCCTCTCCTAGGCGCGACGCTCTGCGTCCTCGGCAAGACAGCTCCGGGCGAAGGTGCACAACCCGGGCCCAACGCCACGTATACAGTAAAGCTTGGTGAGTTTACTTCTCTCTACAGCATTGTTCAGTCTAAACAAGTATTGGTTAATGCCGAGAAAATGGGTTTAGTGTTTTGTTTCGGGGCCGAGTGGAGGAGGGCGGTTGGAGGTTCGGAGGAAAGTGGGGACGCGTTGCCGACTGCCAGCGGGGAGTTGGCTTAGTGGGCGTGTACTTTTGCTCTATCGTTAATATGTGATGCACGGGATATGGAGGGAGCTGTATGTATTGGTCGCGTGTGAACAGGGTCGGAGGGCGCATGCCTCTCCGAGATAAACAATGTACGCGAGGCAGCAGGGTTAAGCAAATTCGTGCAGGCTTCAGAGCCTGACAAAAAGATTCCTGCATATGATGACGATGGAAAACAGACGTGGGAATCCTTCTGTAAGGATGTACTGCGGGTAAACCTTTCGAGTCCCCTTGCGTTGCTCGGTACCTGCGCTCTAGCGCTTGTGTGTTCTCGTTCGCTGCACTTCTGTTTTTCAGGCGGGAAAGAATGGATCGAAGGCATCGATATCTGGCGATGATGATGGTGACGGTGCTATGCACAGCATGATGGTCATTGAGTCCGAGAAGGTAAACTGCCAATCTGTTGTGGATCGCTGGAAAGAAGCATACAAGGGCTTTAGCGGGATGCCACCCGCACCTGTCCAGTCCTCTGGGCTGTACGAACGCCCGGACATTGTTATGTTCGTATCTTTATTCACCCCTTCGTCTGCCGCTACTGCAGACTGCAGGGTCGTGACCTGTACTGAGACGACTACGTTGACTGATCCGAAGCAAAATTCGGAAACAAGGGGCTATGCGTTCTTCTGCAAGACGGTGCCAAATGCTTTGGGTGAAGGAGGAACTCCTCCGTTCACGTGAGTGTAAATTGCATATTCCGTCCCCAGCGGATTGTGATGGTAATGTCGGTGACATCTGAGAGGGAGGCGTGGCTGTTGGTGTTTGCTATGCAGGAAAGAGCAGTGGGAGAAGATTGCTTCAATTCTTAAGGCCTCATCCCCTGCTGTCGTGCCGAGCTTTTCCTTTGTTCTGTTGGCAGCAGTGGGCGGGGTTCTTCTCTAGAGCTGCCTACAACATTCCTCGCATGCAGGGGGTGGACACTAGGTCAGTGCTTGCGCGAGTCTCGGTTATAGTAGGGGCAGAGCAGGTAGGGTGAGTAAACGCTGCTAGAGAGTTTAGCACTTTCAGCACGGATATCTGCTGGCGTTGCTTTACCATTTCCCCATTGTTCCATTGTTTTGGGGGTGGCGTGCAGCAACACCCTAGCGCTGTGTAATGTAATTGGTGGGTTGAACTTTAATCTGTCGTTGTCCGTAAAGGAGCGCAGTTGCAATCTTGAATGTCTAACGGGGGGTCACGAGTAACGGCGTTGAAACGCCAGGCTTACTTGGCGAGCAACTTGGAGGGGAGGCGCACCGGGGAGGACGATAATGAACTTAAGACACTCACCAGCGACTGCGGCTTCTTGCGTTTACCCCGTGTATGTAGAATGTCGAACTGTTGTTTCGTGAGTAATTAAACGTAGCATTAGCCAGGTATGAACGTCATCGGTGAGGAGACATTAGGGGGTCAGACTGTTAGCATGCTGCTAGCTACAGAGGTATCTGGGTTCGAACGCCGTAGAGGTTCGGAGGAGAGGAAACACTTCTTACTAGAGGCCAACCTGGAGAAAATTAGGACAGGGAGCTTGGTCGCCTTGTTAGGAGGTAGAGCCATATCGGTCTGGTTTAGTGTGAATGGGCTACAGTGGCAATGTTTTAACTAGTATATGCTGCGCGAGACAGTAGAGGGCTTGGTGCTTGTTGGGAGAGGTTTCTCTTTAGCAAGAAGAAGGCGCATCTAGGTAGAGGGGAAGGCCGTCTAGCTGGAGGAAATTTTGAGGCTAGGCATCAGTTGGCAATGTTATTAGAGGAGGGCAATGCATGCGGATGCTCTGTAGGAGAAAGTGACAGGCGAGCGGTAGAATTGCAGTAGACGCATTGACGAGCGTAGGAAGGCTAGGTTCTCTCAAGACGCTCTGCTTAGTAGACCCCGCGAGGATGCATGGGGATACCGCCAGAAAGCCCTAACAAGGGCTTCCACCTACGTTGTAGCAAACAATTTGGTGTCCCACTACTATGGAGACTTAGTTGAACTCATTTTCTCCAAAATGCTTCAAGGCGACGCCTAATAAGAACGGGACGAAGTCTTACGCAGCAGCATCGCAAAGTAGAAGCATCCCCAAACCTCCGTGCATTCAAAATCGTGTTAGTGGACGGGCCTAGCCTCAAAGAGCGTCAAAAGACGTGTGGAGGGGCCATGCCAAACGGAGAAGCTGCACGCCCGCTAGCGCATGCAAATCCGGGCAAATGAGCTTAAAATGAAAAGTGCACCATTTTTTGCTGTGACTACGGAATTATACGTGTTACGGCTTGGTTGGCGTCAGTGGTAGGGAGATGGTGGTCAAAGCAGCAATAGTGAGCCTGCAACGTCCTCATTCTCTAGCGGCACAACCCTCGTAGATCTCTTTGGCGGGTATTGCTTGCTCATGGGTAAAAGCAACCCACAATCAACTTCGCCTTGATAAAGGACATCCACGGCTTAGGATGGCCTTCTTTGCTGTATTTTGCAAAGGTCAGAATGGCACGATCAGACTGGCACAGAAGTTCAACGCATCCACTTAGACACATCACGGGAGTGGCTGCAAGCACTCGTCCTCGCTGGGCTTGACGCAATAAGCAACATATCCTGTATGCCCCTTCATCGGCAGTTGGTAGTGGTAGCTACTAATGCGTGACGGTTCCTCCAGATCTGTTTCTGATGAAACCACCGAGGAGCCTGTTGCCACCGCTCCACGTGAGTCTGCAGCTGCGCTGCACCAGCTGGTAGACTGTGAGAAAGGACGTTGCAAGAAGTGAGACAAGAGAGCAGGGAATGACGTAGATGGGTGTTGCTGGCCATCTTGTTTCTCCTGGGCATCCCCATCTTCTTCCCCGTCGGGTTGCGGCTGTGAGGGTGCATCCCGTTTTCTCCTTGCCTTCTCGGTTTTCTTGTGATCCAACGGCGGACGAGATATGCAAGCCCCCCAGGGTTTAGCAAGGATCTCAAATACTTGAAAATCTGTGGTTGTAGGCCAAATCATAGCACAAGGGGATATGCAGCGCAGCACTGACACTGGATTGTGCAACAATTAACTACAAAGTACACTGTGTAGGCATTGTTTCTTCAGTGTAGTGTAGGCCCCATCTGCGCTAATACACAATGTGGGGAATTTCCAAAGCAGTGAATGTCCCCGTGAGCCGGCATTATTCAATATGCATCTGTTGGGCCAACACCGGGCACTGACGAAGCCAACGGGACGACAGCCGACAGTGGTAATCTACAGAGTCGACCTTTAAATGGATCTGCTTAGCGCCCTACAAGACAGTCAACAAAAGGCTTACCCTGGAAGCCCAGCTCCTGCGCTGCTGCGAAGGTCTTATGCAACTGCTCAACACAGGGAGAGAAGGTCACCAAGCGGCCTCCACCCTACGCAGCAGCACGCACAGGAGACTGGCAGTGTCGTAGAATGGTAGTGTGAGCAGCAGAAATAGCCGCACAGAACAAGCCTTGCTAGCCCAGTACGAACTGTTGTGGGTAGAGACCACCGTAGAGAGCACAACAGTCCTTACTGGGGTGGAACCCACCTTGAGAACCTCGTCGGCATGTTTCAGGGCAAGCCACGGGGAAGGCAGGTCAAGAAATACACCGTCCGCGGTGTGTGGTAACGGCAAATCCCCCTCGTGCTCTTTTTTTGCTGCCTTCTCCGTTGTGCCGGAGGACTCAGCTGTTGCTGCAGGAGCTTGCTGCGAGCAGAATCCATCTGCGCAAACGTCGCGTTGGATGGCGTGGACTTCCTTCACGATCCCAAGGAGCTTAAACTCTTCGCTGAAACGAAACCTCCGGATACACCAAGCGGAAACAAATGTGAATCAGCGTGCATGCACGCCCCAGAAAGTTGTAATTTTCAACGGACACTCACTCAATGCCGACGAGCGGCAGTTTAACTAAGTGACAAGGGGTGCTTTAAGCAAACAACAAAACGGTCAGAGTGAACACATACTGCTGTCTAAGAATTGCGCTGGATGTAACACCGCACATCACAATACGTGAGAAACGAGCACCTAGCTTCCTTACCGCGCTTCTTGCCATCGTTGCGCGTGGAACTCGAAGGTGAACAGGCGGCCCTCGGGACGCAGCGCCATGGCCAAAGAATATGACAGAGACCCAGATCCCGTTCCTACACACAAATGCGTTTCAGTGATAGATCCTATTCTTGTGCATCCGTCTCTTCCTACTGGAAGGATGCGCATGCAGATATCCATACAGGATAGTTCGTCCGCCTTGTATTAGCTGCCATAGCGAGACACTACACCCGCCCAAACGGACCATGGTCGTGAAAGACAACGAACCGATACTCTCAAAACCTAATTCAGCAGTCACAGCGCGTACAACTGGTAATCCACTGGTTACAACAGAAAAACATAATTACCTGCTTCAACAATAGTTTTCCCCGGGCGGACATCCAGAAGGCTTAAGATCAGCGATATGTCAGCATGATACTGCGCGCACGTTCAAGTACCTCTGACATAAGTTTTCCTACCCGTGAGGCGAGAAAGAAGAAATGCTCGTGATCCTAAGCAACTCGAAGGAGAGGAGCGTCAAATAGCCTCTACCCGCACAGAGGCGACGAAGAGGCAGCCTTCATACAGATGTGCATGCTTGTACGCACGTACATACAAGGCGCTGAGCAGGCGTTTTAAAGGGCTTATGCTGCCTTGTTAGACTCACAATGATTTGGGTCCGGTGCCGAAGGGCAAGAGTGTGAAGGTCAGGTGTGGGGCGCAGCACCACCAACCACTTCCCCTGGCGTCGCTCGTAAACCTAAGCAGCTCGAAGAAAAGAAGCATCAAATTATCTCTAGAAGATTCAAGAAGAAGATAAATGAGCCTCCACAGAAATGTACATGCATGCATGCATGCGCCCCTCATGTGCGCAAGCTTCTATGAGCAACGCCAAACCATTTTCAGAGTACGCGAGGGGGCGATGCTGCATTAGAGGGTTAGGGACATGGACGGAGTGCAACGCAGACGAAGGGAGATAAAAGGCGACGAAGAGGGGCAAAAGCACGACGGAGGTCGGGTTAGCGTCCACTAGAACTGGGCTTGCGGCCGGATCTGGTGTTGGGAGGATCTCGATCGCCTCACTTTATGTCCTACGCGCGTTTTCATGATATCCGCATGGTCAAAGTTTCCAAGTCGTGTTCGGCAGACTCCGGACTTCTTCAGCAAACAAGGAAGAATCATTTCCCTTGAACCGTAGAGGATCACCAGCTCCCCTTCCTTAGGGAACTCGACCGTTTGGCGGTCTTGTGCTTCCGGTTGAAAAACATACTCTTCAGCTGCCACGGGTACGCCGACGGGCAGGGCAACCCCCGCCAAAGCGTCGGTCTGGGCCATTGCAGCTACGCGTGGTGGCTCAGAGGTCTAAAAGACCTTTTGAAAGGGCTCCTCGACCCAAATTTGTAAAGATAAAAGCACATGCCAAGCGTCTAATAGACTCAAGAGTGATAATATTGGGAATCCTTTGGTTTGGTCTTGAAGGCGGGAGGGCCCCTGCCGGAGGTGAGCTGGCCTTCCAATCATTCAACACACAGGCAGATGAACAATACTGGGATTTGGGAAATTTCATAAATAAGCATTCATTCTTTTCCACTGCCCGGTTCATGCTGTGGATGCTTTCGACGGGGGCGTGAATGTATGGCTTCCCCACAAGAGGGGCCCTCTGTACAGCTGGGAGCGACGGTACGCCCGGAACTTCAGGTGGATGGCGAGAAGCCACGGGAAAATGAACTATTGCAGATACATTGCCAGTTATGCAAGCATCTACCAGCAATTTTCCCCTCTAATCCTCTTTGTGGGGAACTCCTGCCCATTTCTTAACCGAGCGCTGGACGTCTTGACAAACTCTGAGTCCCTTTCTGGCCATCGGCGAAGTCTCTTCGAAAACTGCCTTCGGCATTTTGCAAAAGCTTCCAGTGACAACCACGGGATATTTATGCCTTGCTTCTCTATAAAGCTTTGCAGTATGTCTAAATGGCAGCTCCGGAGGCGTACTGCGCACACTCGGCCCATGAGAGGCAGCTATAATACACTGACAGCATAGTGGAACCAATGGAAAAAAAGAACTAACAATGGGAATGCTTTGAGACCGGCTTACTCCGGAGCTTTCTGGCGAAACCTGCAACTACCACATAAAAGGCTGCGATTCGTGTCACACTATTGTGCACCTTCAATATTTTGAAATTAGGAAGTAGTCTGAGCAAAGAACACTGAAGACACTCGTTTCCCGTGGTGCCACTAATCCCCAATGCTAGTAAGTGCAGCTGTGCTGCAGAACGGGAGGAGCTGCAGTGCAGGGGCGTGAACTTCAGGAGGGACAGTCACCTTTTGCAAACAGACCCAGTCCCCTATCCTTTTGCGCAAGCAATGCCTGGGGACAGGGAGTAGGCGAGCTAACTTTTGGTAACGCGCCGACGGTGCTGCAGCTCATGAGGATGAAAGTCAGGGTAGGGGCCGGGTCAATGAGTGCCTTCAGTATTCCCCGCTTACTGTGGTCCTCATGTGCTGCAGTACCGTTGACGCATTCGAAAGAGGCATGACGGCCCCTTCTGAATTGCATGTGTCTGGGCTGCGATTTCCATCAGCTGTGGCAGCGTTTCAATCAAGCATACATGAACCTCGCTCCACTGTATGCACGAATACCACTGAGAATTGTTAGTTCTTATTTCGACAAAACTATCGAACACAAAAATATGCGTGCAGGAACTTAATTTAGACAGGCTTTACCCTTTCATGGCACACAATACCAAGCACCGATGTAACAATAGCAGCGCTGGAAATGAGGGGCAGTAGAGGGAAAAGGACATGCGAAAAAAATGATAAACGGTATTACGGGCTCGTCTGCTCATAACAAAACGTAGATATTACTGCCTAACCGGGCCCTTACTGCATTACCCATTGCTGCCCAACCACGCCCGAGGGGTTGTTTGACAAAATGAACGATTGGGTAAACGAAAGATTCATATATCTATTTATAACCTATGTATTATATGCATATTTATTTACTTAGAGAACGAAATCGTCCACTTTGAGTGCATTTAGTGATACGGTGTGATCCTTTGTTCCTCTTCGCAAATCTGTACCGCTCGTGGCACTTTTTGTCTCAATGCTGGTGGCAATGCGTAGGCTTCAAGCTGGTTAGGCGATGCATAACAGCACCGCAAGTGAGTCTTCGGTTGATTTCTCTCAGCGTTTTGCTTGACTACCTGACGAATGGAAGTGGATAGATATTGTAGTGTTCACTGGTTTGGCGCTCTGTCAACGCTTCCAGAGGAAAAGTACGCTCCAAAACTGCAGCTCAACAATAGGGTTGTTCCAGTGGTCTTTGCAGAAAATTAGAAATAATGGAGTTAATAAAAAAATGGGAACAAGCATCCCCATGCTTTGGATCTTGTCACGAGCAACTAGGCGCTCATGCAATGCTGCTGCGAAAATGCTTTTCAGCCAAAAAGTGGCCGTGCGGCTCCCGCGCAGTGGCTTCCCTGGGAATTCCCCACGGAGTATAGTGGGACGTCCCCATCAAGCAAAGGCTGGGGATTCCTCCTGAACTGCGGAGAATAAAAGGCGCAGTGTGCCTTTCTGAACATTAGCGCTCAAAGTACAGCAATGCTACGCGCTGCCTAAGCCACCACTACGAATCTGTGCAGGGCGGCCAGAGCCTGGGATAGTGGTAGAGATCCTGTTCCATTGCTCTTGTCGATATAGCAACACGAAGTAGCCAGCACGCAAGAAGTGTCGGTGCAGCACAGAGCAGGCTGGGCACAAAGGTGATCTAACAAAGGCAAGATTGCAGAAACTCACGTGAAGGGAACACTTTTATCCCTTTAGAGCGCATCAGCCGTTGTTGCACATATCAGCGCAAAGGCCTCGCACTTTTTCACAGTCTCTTTTTCTGTATGGCGTTGGCGTTGAAGGATTTTCTTTTTAACTTGTATGACAGCTCTGCATTCTGCAGTGGCATCAGCTAAGGAAGTGAACATGGCCGCGAAAGAAGCGTTGGTCATGTCCGTATCAAGTTCCGTGTTTTTGGTGTTCGCTGGAGGGAGTCCACCGACATTCTTGCGAGCTTTTATCCCACTGATCCGCCCTGACAAAGGGTTTTCCAATTTGAAATTACAAATGCATTTCCCTGGCTGAAAATCGGTGTTTTTTGAGAAAGCTCGATTTTTCTGTGGGGCAGTCGGAACACAAAAACGCGCTATGAGCGTCCAATGCACGAGCAGGGTAATAACGGCAGGCACAAATTTTCCGTTTAACAGATATATGCAGAATGGATTTCCAGCTTGCGTTGAGTCCTTCGTTAGGAGCCCGTTTGGTCTCCTCATCACCTCTGGTTGCCTTCTTATACTTACAAGTCTAGCTGCTTGGCAGGCAGAGGAGGGAAGGGGGGGAAAGTAAATATTCTTGGCACTAATATTCACAGCAAACAAGCGAAGCTTCAGGTTGGCACGACGAAAGCCGTTATGGGAGGCAGGCAGGAGGGCCTCCTCCACATTTTCCAGGGGGTATCACTGTAATCAGATATTGAAGAACAACCGTAGCGAGCAGGCTACGGATCACTTTTCATTGTCTACAGGCTAGTGACGTTCACAATTCCTTTCCAAGTATTGCTTGTATGGGGCCTGATGAGGGAGCCAAACTATTCGTAAGATTTGGGGGCCAGTAAAATGCGGAGGCTCCTAGCATCCGTGCAGCCCTAGAGTGGCCCGCAAAGATAGTCGCTTTCTGTGACTGGTGAAGTTTTCTGGATGGGGGAAGCGCACTAAACTAGACTTCATCGAAGTGTCACACAACCGTGTTCAAGCCCCTTGACGCGTCCAGTGATGTAATCTGTACACTTCGTAATTCCCGCCAGCGAACAGGTGCTGTTTGCTTTATTGCTTCGCCTTATCCGAACTTGAAGCCGGCTCAAGTGCATATTCATCGGCGACCGGTACTGTATAGACTCATTCGTTTCCACCGCACCGTGGAACTGATCTATCTGAATTTATGCATTCGGCTGAGCGCAACATGCTGCCGCAATCAGGAACTTGAATGGCCAAAAGCCATTTAAACCACCTCCTCCCTTCCCCACCCCCTTTTTCGCCTCCCCAGTTGAGTGGAGTGGTGAGTGGAGTGGAGTGGAGAGCATATCTCCACGCAGTGAACACATACACTGATTATCTGGAGCATTGCAACTGGAGAGGCAAATATGGGGGTGGGGAAGGGAGGAGCATTTGCCTCGTTGTGCAGTTTATTCAGTCGGGTGCTGAAGCAATTGTGTCGACTTCCACGTTCCTGCCCCCACTTGCTCTCCGTTGAGCACTCTATTTGCTACCACCACCAACAAAAGACCTAATAGTGCACATTATGAAAAGGGGGCGGTTTCGCCACTCAGCTGATAACTGCGAAAATGTGGCTGCACTACGCAATTTGACTAATTACTAATCGCGGTTTGCGGGTCTTTCGGCTCCCGTCAAATGGTCTTTCCAGAGTTGTCTCAGCACATAAATTACTGGCTTCACATGCAAAAATTTGCATGGATGACACTGCATAATTGCCCCATCCTAATTGCTTGTGCCTTTGCACATTTGTGAACGTTAGTTAGGTATGCTATCAAAGTATGGCAATACTGAGCACAGTCATTGCGACTACTATGATGCTTGGGAAGGCGACGGCTGCGGCGCCTGTGATGGCTGCGGAGATCTTGTTCCACTGTTCTTGCCTGCACAGCAACATATGGGAGAATACACAGAAGCTGTAGCCTTTACCTGTGAAGGCACGATGTGACTAAAGGAAGTATGTGTGGAGAAGCTTACGTGAAGGGAGCCTTTTGATTGTTCGCGAGTACATCAGGCGTGGTCATGCAAACGAATATGAACGCCTGACGGTTTGAATCGCTAGGAGCACCGTCATGTTCTTGTGCTGCGGGAACCTCAGTGCAAGTGACAAGTCTGCAGTCTGCGGTGGCACCGGGAGAGGGATTGTACAGAGCCACGAAAGAAACGTTGAGCTTGTTCTGATAAACTGTGGCGTTTGAGTCGTTTGCTGGTGGAAGTCCAGTGAAGTTCTTGTAGGCTGACTTCCACTGGTCCACTGTAGCACTACAGTCAACGTTTGCAGACGCTAGAACTTCAAACGCGTATACGCCGTCTTCGAAGTCTTGGATAACTTCTTTAGTGGCAATTTTGCTGCCAGTGGCCTGAGAAAAAGGGGAAAGCTGAATACCGAATTCTGTTTATGCAGAAACAACAAATGTGGCGTCATGAAGTGAACGGGGTGGTAGGACAAAACTTACGTTAAGCAAATCCTTGCAAAGCGGATCCCAGGCATTGCTCGTTGTTTCCAATGGAAGCCGCTTGGTGGCCTCCTCTTGAGTTGGCTGAACGAATTTCGCAAGTCCAGCTGCCTCACGGGCAGAGTCGATTTCGTCAAGGCATTCGCCCTCGCTCCCTGCATGGATACACGCAACACGGAACATGCTCCACTAACCTTTTACAGACGACAAGTCGGATTTCGCGTGAGTCACAATGATCTCTTTGGCAGGGTCAATGCAGGGCGCCCTCGAATTCGGCACCCTGGATTTCGCTGACTTGAACACCAACAAGGAGTTCATCTTGACTCACCAAGAGAAACATTATACGTTGGTTCTGCTGCTGATGCTCCCGGAGCAGATGACATTACTGTGGGGCCCATGGCCAGCAAGGCGCCCACGACTGAGAGGATCTTCGCCATTGTAGCGGTACTTGAGTTAGAATATCAGCCCGTAACTAATGCTCAAAAGAACAAAACCGAAAAAGATGGAGCGATGCAAAATATAAGGAGGCAGAAAAGTGTGTTGCTGTAGGAGTTGGCTCGCCACTGCGAAAGATGCTCAGTCAGCTGAGCTTCGAGCAGCACGCTGCAACAGAGCTAGCTAAGCATCGACGTTGAAGGCTGCTTGCCAGAAACGAAAGTTGAAAAGCTGATTTTCACGACGGTTTATGTTTACTTTACAAACAGTTAGCTTACTCCGTCCACTACTAATTTCGCCTTTGAGCAACAAGTAGTATGAGGTCACCAGGGTCACCTCCGCAGAAGGATGGGCTGTGTGCGAAGTGTTGTGTGCCATAGCATCACTCTACGTTGTGCGTGAGTCTGTAAAGTTGACAAGTTCTTATTTATTTTTAAAGTTATGTTGTTTTTTCCACCCTATTGAGATCACGTTGCCAAATTCGCCGGTTGCATCATCAAGCGCTGGGACATCGAATCACCGCTGCCTGCCCTTCTGTAGGAGGCGCGTGTAGATTCTACTGGAAAAAAGGGTAGTACTGCTGTTCATTCCTTAAACCTTAAAATTTGTTTTTAAAAGAGTATTGATAACAGGGTTTTAACCCTTTTTCTTCGCCAGGCCACCGCGCGTGCGCCACCGCAGTTGGACGCGCCACGGCAGGAATGGTTCGACGAGTAGCACTCCTTCACAGTTTTGTGGGTCATCCTGCTAGTTTCTACCCTGTACCTCAAGTCGAACTTTGTTCTCCGAATAGATACATTTTTGCACCACTCCTCCAGCAATCTCGCTGTCGTTTCAACTGAATGGCCAAGCTCAGTTGGCCCATGCCGCTGCTGCAGTGGAGAAGCAAGCCATATGCTGAGGGACTAGAATTCGTTAGTATCCGCGTGGATAGAGGTAATATAATGCAGTTTTCCCCCACCAGTGAATTCCGAATACGAAGTTCCTCTCGCCGAGGACCACTGGCTCCAGTTCTCGCATCACTGGGAACCTTTTCAATTTTTTTAGGGAGCCACCTTTTTTCTGAGTGGGGCTGGTAAATCTTTCTGCTCTTCCGTGACTTCTACAAAGCGCAGTAAAATGTTGCATGTTCTACTTTCCAAGCTATTGAGTCATCACATGGGACATACACATCCCTGATTTTCACTGCGGATTCAGCCATACATCGAGATGCGATTTAGTTAACGCTCGACAGAGCATGAAGGCGTCAGAAGCCACAGTTTATTTCAGCAACTGCTCGTCAGAATTTGCGCGTTGTGGCTGCATTTGGAGTCCCGGTCGGCTCAAGAGGGATGCAAATCCTTTCGGCAAGCGAGTTTCCTCATACTCTACCCCCTCGCGGTTGCAAAATGCCTAGGCTATGCCATACATTGCTTTAGCAAGCCACCTGAGCTGCAGTTGCAGGGCAGATGTTAACACACAGCGTGTTGAAAACTGCTGGGGCTTTTACTTGATTGCCTTTGAAGTAAAGAGATTAGTTTTTTCCTTTCGTGTGCATGCTCTTCCCGATCAGGTATCTTAGCTCTATTTCAATGTATTGCCTTCACAATTAGTGAGATAGAGAAACATAACTCCCGTGGATTGGACTTTTGCACTAGTACTTCAATTTCGTCCCATGCAAATGTAGCACTTCTGAAGTCCAGACTTAGTCTGGAATGCTTCAAGTCAGAAACAATTGAACCGGGATGCAACGCACCATCAGAAAGGCGCAAGAAGGTTAAAGGCAAGTGGGAAGGGTGTCCGTCGTTTTCAGGAGGACAGAAAGGCATCGCCGTACACGGTGGAACCCTGCTCCACCCTGGCGGCATTCTTCGGCGTGAGGCAACGGCATGCAGCTGCGGTATGTAGCTTCCACATGATCCATGGCAGCTACGGGCTGCCGTACAGTTCGATATAAATAAAAGAATCAAGACTTCATAGCTAAAGCCAAAAAGCTATGTGCTCGTTTCTACAGTTGAGGCTGCCGGACCCAAAGTAATTCAGCGTCAAATCATGCGAGGCAATCGGGGTGGAGGAGGGTAATGACAGATGCTGTTTACGGAGTGTCACGTATTGCAATCTGGCTCGGTGCTTGGGCGGAGCTTGCAGAAATCACAGACGAACGCCGTGGAGAACAACCATGGTTCCCCTCAATAGAGCTCCAGGCAGTTGCTGGTGCCATGCAGTAAAAAATGGTGTTTAATGTGACAGTGAAATTCATTTAGGCAGGAAGCGAGATAATTCATGCAGGGAATGCGGGGTGTGGGTTAGCCGTCACCAAAGTAGTTTCAGATAAGCGACCGAATAATGCATGGTAATTTGAGGATGTAAACAAAATATACTGTCAGAGGAAGAGGGCTGCTTCTCACCCCGTGTTCGTTGTTTTTGGGCAGAGCCTTCGAGGAGAGCTGCAATGCCGTACAAAAAGTAGCAAATAACTGCTGAGAAGCTAAACTCTGCGTAAATGAACGCATGCCCTTCCGAGTTACTACAAAATATCCAGGTGGAGAACGCGACAGCGTTAAAGTCCATAGCCACAATAAGTGAACTGTCCCCTTCTGTGTGCAGCTGCGCCTGCTGAGTGGCCGGCTTCTGTTCCCTAGTGAAAGCATGCACGCCCTCGACTGCTGAGTGGCCGGCTTCTGTTCTCTAGTGAAAGCATGCACGCCCTCGACTGCTGAGTGGCCGGCTTCTGTTCTCTAGTGAAAGCATGCACGCCTTAATTATTCTCGGCCAGCGCCTCTTATAAAACATGTACTGAAGTGGATTTACCGGAGTGAGTGAAAGTCCGCACCAGACGAATAAAGTGGGCGCATATCAAAGTCGTCTGTCAGTTTCTTTGTATTGAATGCAATCCGCAGGTACCTCGGTTTTCATGATGCTTAATGCTTTCACCAACCGTTTGCCGTGCAGCCTTCCTGTCACCTCATTCATTGGCATATTTCCCCAGGGCATCGACAGCAAATGGTCTTCAATGTAAAACCTCTGCTGGCACTGGATTTCGAGTGCCGATGTCGAATTGTAAAGCTATTTCCAGTGTTCCCTTAACAGTCAGGAAGTGCATTCTGCTGCCAAACATTGAAAGGCCAGTGTCAAAATGTTCACTGGAGCTTATCGCTTGAAATCGCAAGGGTACTCCTTGACGATGTAACAGCCGAATGTAACCCAGCTGTTTTTCACCCTTTCGCAACTGGCCACTGCTACAGATAGAGCAATGCACGCCTGCACTGGCAAGGCAAGAGCTTGTCAACAAGGCAAGACTGAAAAACTGCATTGCCCCGAACGTTGTGGGCATCAGATACTCGCTGGTAGGCAGATGAAGGCGAAGAAAATTGGCGTTAGTTCGCACTTTCGAGTTGAAGGACACATGTAGGAGATTTGGCGTCCAGAAGGTATTGTACGGTTGGAAGAGCCCTCAACCACCACAGCGAAAACGAACATCAACTCACGGAGGTCCAAACATTGAGAGACAAGCTCCTCCCATCAGGACTATTTTAAGGCTAGGGCCCTACTATAAGTGAAAGGCGTTGCTGCTCTTCAATAATTGCTCCATACAGGATGAAATCGTAGGCCTGAGTGATTATGGATGTTCAAGCAACCTACCGAGTTGCGATGTATTGCGCAAATGCGCAGATCTATGAAGAAGCGCTCAGCGACAAAGAACTGGAATTTTTGTCACCGTCCACAATGGTGGCAGTACTCTTCTCCACTGCAAAGCTAAGAATTTCTAGCCTGCATTGGCGGTTCAGGAACGCCTTCACCAAAATGCATAGCTACCCAATAGGAGTCGTTGCCTTCTACGGACTTTTCCGAGAATTCACTGAATCGAAAGCTGCTAACCACGAAACAACACAAGACAAACCATAGCAGGCGGCTTCATGGGAAGTTCAGTAGCAGCCCAAGGCGTGTTGAGCATCACCTAGCTAAGCAATAGCGGGTGGATACTTTTTGTTAAAATCGGTCTTTATTAAATCGTTCTAGCCTTCACGGAATATTGTCATGGGCTTGGCGGTATCCTGTGCACAAGATGTTTGCCGATTTTATCTGAACTCGCTCTGCTTCGCGCATATCCACAACGTGAACGCCTATCTGGAACCACAGGCTTACAGACGGATGCTACCAAAAATAATCACCGTTCGCAACGGCGTCCCATCCTCTCCCTGGAGATGAAATATGGAAATAAGAAATCAAAAAGGACTCTACCCAACACAGGTTGAGAAAAAGGCTCGCAGATTCTGGATGGCAGAACCGCAGGAGGAGAGAGATAGTTAACATATTCTTCGGTCCTCAACGTAGGGCTGGAGAACTGGAAGCCGACTGCACTAGCACTTCGGTTTTTTCCAGATAAAGAACCGCAGAAAACTCGGTCACTACAGCGTCGTCGCCATTGACGGCACACTGCAGAGCCGTCCCTATTGACGGTCGATGGTCGCCAATTCTACCCAATAAACAGTCAACCAAAAGGCCCTGCGGCGCCCTCCACAGAGCCGTCTAGATCCAACATACAGAAACACTGTCTTCTCAGTGTGAGCGAGGCCTGGGCCTTCTAAGACATTACCATCAAGTTATACAACATAGTGATCAAAGGCAAGAAATTCCGCGAGGAAACTTACAACGTTCCTGGGGAATCGCATATATATGCATCCCAGCGTTGGAACCTGTACTCAGGCCTTCAGTTTTTGTTATACACGCTGGTGCCTCAGTGAGACTAACAGCGAAGGTTTTGGTCCTGCCTCTTCAGAGCCTATCAACGATCCTTCCCAACTCTGGTACTATTCGTCATCCAGTTAAGGGTCCTCTCTTCCTCTCCGCAAAAAGGTGTGCATATAGAACCATCACGAGAAACGAGGAGCCCATGTACAGACGGGCCAAGCCGCAGCTGCCAAACCCGACAGTGGCTAGCTACGCGCTTGCCCATGGCATCCAAAAAGCCGAATGCAAGCTGTGGCTGGCACTTCACCGTACGCCAAAACTTGGAGATCCCGAACTACTCAAGATATTAGTGGCTGCAGCTCTTCAAGGTTGGACTTCCAAAGTGGCCACGGCTAGTGCTTCTAAAGCGAATTTCGTCTAGCCAGGGATGGTGTCAGCAAGAGCACTTACTCGTACAAGGTTCATCCAATGAGAAAGCTAAGAGCTGCCACAACGACTGTGGCCAGACTGAGGAAGGGCGGCGAGGCAGAACTGCCAAGAGAGCCTACGATCTTGTCCCATTGTTCTTGCCTGCGCCACGTTCGCCCACAGTGAAAGCCAATCAAAAGCGCACGCAATCTAAAGTGAGCCACCTAACGGGCGCCTCCCACACAAGTGGCAATTAAGCTTTAGAAAGACCTACGTGAAGGGTTGAGTTCTGTGAGCCTCCAATACGTCGGGCGTCGTCATGCAAATCAGGGCATGGCCTTGATTGCCTGTAGGCTCCAAGTTGTTCTCAATTGTTTGTGTGTTGAAGTTCACAATCGGCTGGTTGTGCAGTTCAACGCAGGTGACGACTCTGCAGTCTGCAGTAGCACTGGTTGAAGGGTTGTACAGGGCCAAAAATGAGATGTTATCTTGATTGTCGTATGCAGGGGTACTGCAGTTCGCTGGCGGGGGTCCGTCGAAGTTCTTGTAGGCTGCCTTCCATTGGTCCACTGTGGCACTGCAGTCTGGTGAGGCGGAAGGCAGGACCATGAAAGCGTATGTGCCGCTGTTAAATTTTAGGTGTTTGGACTGGCTGCGGCCGGTCTCTCCTGCCTCATCTGGCTGAAAGCAGCAAGGCAGAGACAGAGTGCTGGGACTGCCTACGAGCCGACAGACAACCTCCCTTAGAAACAGCGAATGTTGTTGGGAACTTACTGATATCAATGAGCCGCATACATGTTTCCAACGGTTAATATCTTTCGGGTTGGGGAGCCGAAATGCCTCATCTGCTGAATCTGCTCGCGTGAACGGGCGAAGTCCAGCCGCTTCCCGAGCAGCATCGATCTCGCTGAGGCACGCGCCATCCTGGCCTGCATAGAACGAAACAAACAGGCAGATAACAACAATCCCATGATAAAACTTGCCCTTCTAGAGAAGCTATACGTTTTTGAGTCGAGCCATTTCGGATATGGGGGCAGAACAACCCCACCGCGTCACAGTGCAGCGCTTCTCCCCCCCAGACCCGGCAGCAAAACATGTAGGAGAAGCATAAGATGCAGCGTACCAAGGGCAACATCGTACGTGGTACGCTCAAAGAGTTCATTCGCACGTCTGGGGTTCGCCTCGGCGAAAAGTAGCAGCGAGGCGCTGACGACGGACAGGAGGTGGAGGCACGCCATCTTTGCATTGTACGCTAAAAAGCAGATGCCATCTGGCGGAAAAAGAAAGCTGAATGTATTGTCTAATCTGTTGAAGGATTTGCAATGTTCATGCTGGGAAAGACTGCGCCCTATTCAGCTCCGTGCCGTGGAAGTGCTCGTCGTCGATGCAAGAAGCAAGCCCACTGGAACCAGCGCACCCAGCTGTCTGCAGGCCTGCGCGCCTCGTCGTCTAAATTACTTAAATAAATCGCCTTAGCAAATATTTATTGGGAGGTATTTTTTATTATTACAGGTGAAAAATTGAACAAACCGCGGCATTCTGCCGTGCGTAGGTCCCCTCCTGTTACGCCTGTACGCGAGCGAGCTTTGAATGCAGGCCCTCTCGGAACTATAGAAAATGTACTCGCATTGAGCTATTGGAACATTCTATTGCTTCGGCTATCAGCAGAACTTGGGCGAGTTGCTGTCTTGCGCGTGAATGACGCGTAATCTCACGCGCAATCGCTCATTTAACTTGTGTGGCCGGTATTTTCTGCATGTCTAGGGGGACTAATGGATTTGCTTTGATGCAGGAAAATGACAAGCATTAACACGAGAAAGGGGTTGGGGTTTATCCCTGCTGGCTAAGGCGAGACGAAGTTAGGCTTTCCCTAACGCTGCGTTGGACTACCCAGCTTCAAGGCATACCACTATCCAATAGCCACATTAACGCACCGAATCTGCCCAGTGCTCTATAATTTAATCTAGCAGTAGCGGAGGGAAGTTGATTGTGGAGAGCGTTGAATGGCTGCAATATTTACCGTCTAGACCGGAGAATACCTTCTCTGGAGCGGTAATTTAGAGAGGGTGCTCGATTTCAGCTGCACGCTGCAATACAATCAACGACTTAATATTAGAATTTTCCAGAAGCACCTACCCTCCTCCCGTCTGATATCTTGCATGTCCGTCAGTAGCCATCCTGCGCCCAAGTCGAAGCGCATGCTCCAACTTTACACCATGCTACCAGGCCTTCGGTCATTGCGCCCGCGACGCATGCGTGGAGACTCAACGGGAGGCCCGCTGCTGTATGAGGAATCTTTTTCCAAGTCCATTGAGTGCGTTGCAGCTCATGCTGTCTTCTACTAAGTTTGAGGAGACAGGCTCCACAGAGCTCGCCCAATCAGGCTGCCTCAGAGAGATCTGTGTCATATGATACTTCTGCGTAGTAGCTGAAGCAGCATCATTCGGTTATTTGTTGCTGATTGGAAGGGACCATCTGCTGAAACCGCCGAAGCAGCAAAGGTTAAAGACTTCTTAGCTTTCTCTACTATGTGGCTCCTGCGTAGGCTCGTGATCGAAATGCATGAGGCGTGGTGGCACTAAAGCTTAAAACAACTTGTTTGGCTTCATAATCGTTGTGAAGTCCCTGGCTTTGGAATCCATCACCAGCGCAGTGACTGTTGACTTCGCCAGCGGAACTAAATAGGTGCGCCAGAATCAGGCGCCCACAGTAGGAGGCACTCAAAAGGGCAAAAATTTTTCCTCCTGAAAGCTTGACGATGGCGTGCATGTTAGCAGCGCATCATTAGACGCAACGAAGCAGATCAGGCGTACTCAGCTCTGTGAGTATGAATGGCCCGGTCTTCTCTCGGAGCGTCACAAAACAAAGGCAAAAAGTGCTGCCGCTCACAGGCGTACAACTTAGAAAACAGATTTGTGATTATTTGCGTGTAAGTGTATTTTCACTCTTACGCGCATCTGTCCAATAAAAAGGAAAAAAACGCAGCAGAGGGGTTTAACGGGCATGCAGCAGCTTCAGAAGGCCACGGAACCGACGACTGCAGCAGCAAGGGCAATTAACTCTGGGATCACTGCAGAGGCAGAATTTGAGAAGGACTTCGTAATCTTGTTCCACTGCGTTTCCCTGCGCAAGCCGCCAACAAATGAACAAGGCAGCACTGCTCAGTCACAGCCACCAGGGTATCGATGTGTGCAACTATCCTTCTATCGGAATCAGGAAATGCCTTACGTGAACGGATCAGAAGTTCCATCGCCGAACGCGTCTGGCGCTGTCATGCATAACACCGCATGGCGTGACTTTGTTTCCGCCTGCGGCTCGTCTGCATTGTGGACATCCGCACCTGAGCTAGTCGTGCAGGTAACGACTCGGCAGTCTGCGGCGGCGTTTTGTGAGGGGTTGTACAAGGCTACGAAAGAAACGTTGTCATAATCTGCGTATGCTTCATTTCCTTTAGTCTTCGAGGGAGGAGCTGAGGTGAAGTTGCTGAAGGCGGCCTTCCAGTGGTCCACTATGGCTGCGCAGTCCGGTTCACTCGAGCCTACTGCCAGGAATGCATACGTTCCACCTGCAAAGGCCTTTCCGGACTCTTGTACGGTTTCAGCATTCTTCGGTATTTCCTGAAGGCGACATGAAACGTATCGCCCGTTGAGAAGATAAACAGAAGTCTCTCCAGGCACAACAGATACCTGCAAAGGTCTGGACGACTTACGGGCAACAAAGCTCTACAGACAGGTCTCCAAGCCTCTTTCTTTGTTTCTGTTGAAGGCCATAACTCTGTTGTCCGGGTTTCCGAGAACCCGGAGAGTCCAGCGAGTTGACGTGCAGCGTTTATCTGACTGAGGCACACAGTCTCGCCGCCTGGGGAAACGCAGTCAAGACAATCCTCACACTCGCACAGCAGATAATGCTTCTGCTTGTATTTTTCTAACTGATTCCTGCAGCAACGGTAGAACGACAAATTCGGCTCCGACCCCCTTTGTCTCATCAAAGCAGCTCAATGCTACGGCACTGAAGGGTCCGGCCCCTCCCCACCGGCAGCTTGGCAGGAAAAAAAACACTAAACACTCTCCAACATACCGATTGTGGCAGAATAAGTTGAGGTTTTTGGAATATCTGGGATTTCAGGCTTAAACTGTGGGTCAGGATCACTGTTGGTATCTGCGTTTGCCATGCCCAGAAAGAGCGCCGTGGCGCAGATGGCTGAGAGAGGAGTAAAAGGTGCCATCTGCGCAGTTCATACTGTGAAATACCTGAAATAAATTAAAAAAACAAGGGTGAAAACGACTTCAAGGGCGTGTGCGCCCTGAATTCTTCCCTCGAATGCACAGGTCACGGAGTCAACTAGTCGGACGTCGGTCCCTGTGAGGTCCGATCACGAGATCGTGCTGAACCTGCTGGTTTCTTGTATTTAAATACGGCCCCTAGTATTAAACTTAGATACGAAAGTAATTGTGTATATTGCATAGAGGAGGATTTGGAATTTCGTCCGACTACGCCCCAGCATGCTTGGTGGCTTGGAAATGGGGCCTGTGGAGTCAACAAGTGCGTCTCCCCATGCACATATTTGTGGGCCGGTTCACAAGTTGCTGAAAATTAATTTGACGTTCATGTCTTTTGATTTGTTAAATTTGAGCTCGGAGTGCTTCAAACTACCCGCCCCAGCATCCCGTTCCCAGGTGCTCAGCAGTTCTGAGAGAAGGGGGGCATTTGCTTCCTTTGTAACTCGGTATAGTTTTTTTACTGTTATTTGCTCGGTCCCACTGTCTTGGTTCATTCTTTCTGATAACCCCGTCGTAACGTTTAGGCAGCCTCCCTCCTCGTTACGACAATGTGGATGCCGTCCACTTCACAACTAGCTTATAAACACTACGTAATGCTCGGGGAGGCCAACACAACGAAGGAAGCTGAGGGGGCGAACATTTATGGTCCATGGAGATAACGTAAAGCGAAAACGGCACGTCAACTAGTGGCGCGCGCGTCTCAAGGCTAGCAGGCGCATATAGGCTAGTGTTCTCTGTTTCCAGTCGCCGCAGTGCAGCCTCAGGAAGCAGTGAAAAGCGAAGATCTTATTGATGCGTGCAACTCAGTCAAAATGTTTGCATTGAATGATTGGAAATGTGGAGCCACTGCGATGAGCGGCCCTTTTTGAATACAATCAACAGCTGGCGGGGTCGTACCTGAAAAGCCACTGCTTCACAGGGCAGCCAGGCCAAGCGCCGCAGTAGCAAAGCCAAGCAGACTCGGGACAACAGCAGAGGCGGAACATTTGAGGGAAACCTTGATGCTGTCCCACTGCTCTTCCCTGCTCGCATTTTGCCAACGGATTAACCGCACGTAATCTTGTTGTCAAAGCAGCAAGAATAGATCTGTATTCAACTCTTGGTATGGGGGAGTTTGTATGCAACTTACGTGAAGGGAGCTGCATTTTCATCTTTTAACACGTTAGGCGTGCCCTTGCACCGTGGAGCATAGCCTGTCTTTACCTGCTCATTGGTCAGTAAGCTGAATTGAGTGGCTGCCGGCCGGTGAGTTACACAGTTTACTTGCCTCAGGATGTTACGTACAGATTGCGAAGCGAAGCACCAGGGATTGCTTTTCTAGTGTTAGGGGTTTGGGTGTGCTTAGCTGATTGTACTTGCTTTGTGAAGCTGAGTGCTTAGCAAAGCAGCCTAGGTCGCGGCGATGGTCGAAACACACAACTATTTGCAGTACTGCTGTTTCGGCACTTGAGCAACAGCATGGGCGTGGGGAATTTGATGGCTTTCTAGTGGAAGCAAGAGTAAAAAAGTTAAGATAAAGCTTGAACTTAGGCAACCATTTCACCGTCATAGTGTAAATTTCTGTTGTTTTCTCTTGTTTCCACCTGCGCAACCGCTTTTACCCTCTGCTGAGTAAAGGTACAGTGACCACCAGCATGCGGGGTACCGTTGAGCTCGTAAATCGTGAAATATACCAGGAAAGCTCGTATAATGACGATCCTTATTTACAGTGAGCAAAACCCTCCGAGTTGGGTGCTCTCGATCGCTTCGTTACTGGTCGGCGAGCCAATCCACTGGATGCCGATCTCGTGGGGTTGGCCAACGCATATTCGCTGCATTTTTTGCACCTTATCATGTAAATCAAATCCCTCTGCCTATAAACTACGGAAAATACTAAACGGATTAAAAAAAACCATCTTGCCGGATTTCATCCGCAAATAAGAGACGACACCGTAATGCACATCATGCTGGGCTACGAGCACTTCTGGTGCACCGCCAGGCACTGCAAAGGTGGCTCTACATCGGCTCGGGAGGCAAAAATAAGCGATTAAAGCATGTCTAAGCTAAAGAGATGGTACTCTTCACTAACACAATAGCTGGGGGGCTATTGCGAGGGCTGGCCTCAGCCGTCCCATCTAAAAACAGATTTCCAGCCTATGGCGCCGGGGCTAGTTTTTGGTTTTCGCACTGGAGCGTCGTCTATTTTAATGAATATTAAAAACCTAGGTAACATTTGGCTGTATGGGGTGGCCTTTCCTCTACCCTCCATGGATCGGTGCACCAACATGTTAGACAAGCGGAAACAGGTTGTATATCTCCAGCAAGAGGCCTCAGCAGGCTGGAACATAAACGGGGTCACGTCTTGCGCGACACAATACTACGAATTGGCTCGCTTCGAAACATCCCGCTTCTCAGCCGCCGTGATGTTTAGGCTGACAGCCCCTGGCTACAAAGGCGGAGCTGTTCTTTTATAGTGCCAGCGGCTCCATAAGCAGAACAAATGATGAAATGGCTAAAACTCGACTTCCTATTGTATAGAAAAGGCTCAGCATGCGTTATGGGATCCAGTGTCCTCATACGTTCTGAGCCCATTCTTACCTGAAGCGGAGTTGCGGTCTTTGCTCCCCTCCAGTCCACAAGGTGCGTTTTACTTGTGTTTTCGCCTCAATAGATGGATGGCGGAAAATACTCTTCGCCTACAATAGGACCTGTAGAGACCTCGAAATAAAGCGTCCCAGACGGGTAATCCCCTTTACAGCTTGTGCTTCACAGTACCATTATACCAAAGCCAAGGATGGCTGCGGCGAGGCCGACCATACTAGGCACAGCAGTAGAGGCGGAGTTTCTGATGGAGGAAACGATCTTCCCCCACTGTTCCTCCCTGCAGAATACAAGAAGAGAAGGCGAATCGCATTTGTGCAAAGGGCGCCTGCAGAAGCAAAGGGGGCATGCGGGATTCAAAAAACTTACGTGAAAGGAGCCGTTGTACCGTCCTTAGGAAGAGCATCAGGCGTCGTTAAACAAATCAGTGCAGAGGCTGCTGTTGTTTTGGGTTGCTCGCTATCTTGCGTGACACTTTGAGTGCACGTGACGAGTCGGCAATCGGCAGTAGCATTAGGTGAGGGGTTGTACATGGCTACCAGAGAGACGTTAGACTGGTTGGTGTACGCTGTCTCGCCCTCCTTGTTCGGTGGAGGCACTCCACTGAAATTAGTGAAGGCGGACTTCCACTGTTTCACTGCAGCAGAGCAGCTGACGCCTTCGCTATGAAAGGGGTGGAACGCGTATGTGCCGCTCTCGAACTTCACATCCCCCTTAGCACTTTCAATAGGGTGTTCGCTGTTTACGTTCTGGAGCCACAAACGGAATGGGAAAACGCTGAGATGGTCTATATGGAGGGCAACACTTCTGCGGAGGGCACTTAGGAGGGGAAGCAACTTACTGGAATCAGGGCTTCGCACACCGGCTTCCACACCCATTTTTTATATGTGTCGGTGTCGTCTGCGTCACAATCGCTTTTTACAGGAAGCCTTTGTTCTGTAGCTCCAGTTGGTGCCTGCTTTAGTAGGCTCAAACCAGCTGCCACGCGAGCAGCGTTGATATGCTCGAGGCATTGGCCGTCAGCCCCTGCAGCATAAAAAAACAAGTTGCCCTGAGATTGTGAAGAGCGGCCCGCAAGCTAAAGCTTGACATAGTGAAACTCTCAGATGAGCGCTGTGTACACCATGTTCACGTGTGGGGTTCCGCCTTGTACACAGCAAGCAAGAGCTTTGCCAAACGAGAACCTTGCCCAAACAATCAACAGCGCTGACCACTAGAAATGCCTACCGAGATTAACACTGTACTTTGTCGTTATCTTTGTTTCCCCATAAGCTCCGTTTTTGACGGCCAGGAGAAGGAGCGATGCACTGACGACTGTGAATACCTGAAGAGGCGACATTGTCATCGAAAGTTGCTGGAGCAGACGTAGGAGAAATGCAGGTTCAACCGAATAAGGTACCAAAGTGCAGAAATTGCCTTCAAATAACAAATGAACCACGATGGGGTTGTGAGCTTCAGAAGCAGTGAGGTGTTCGGTGCTGGGGGTGCGCGTGAACGCTGCCGGCTCCAGGTGGGCAGGCCTGGCCAACTGCAGCGGCTCGTCTTTCTCCTAAAAAAAAGATAAAACGTATTTCAGAAAGCGTTTATATTACTATTGCGATACAAAAAGAGTAAACAAGGCCAGAGGGCAGAAAAAGGGAGACTTTCAACTTGCAGAACCTCGTTGGAGAGGGTGTCTGCACCCCCGTCACCGATACTGCGTGGTTTGCTCTTTGCTGCAGAAAGATACGGCGATTTTTCATTTTAAAAATGCATTTATGCTTTAGCGGCTGACGATATATCTATATTTAATTCTAGATCTGTGCCCTGACTGCCAGCTTGTTACCGAATGCGTGGTTGCAGGCGTGGTCCACCAGGACCTCGTTGGACAGCACCGTGTTCACAAAGCCATGAACACGAAATTTCGCGAAATTTACAATCTCCAGGGTTGCAAAAATGCACTGGAATACAGGGTTGTGAATTTGCACTCACTTTACACCCACCAGAAGTCGACCGAAGGGTGCATCTCCCCGCCCATTCACGACAACCTTGCCACAACCGCTCGTGGGGCGGACTCCACGGGGAAAAGGGTTAACGGGCTGAAAACGCGCTCTCATTTAACTTCCTAAAATCATCAAACTCTTAATTAATTGCTGCGCTAGGGCTCTGCAGCGTAAGAATCCTGTGCCTATAGACTATTGGGCGCAAATGGTCTAAGCATATTCGCGGGTTACTGGCAGCTTTGCAAGTTTGTCGTAGGCAACGAAGTTTGTGAGAACTTCTGCTTTTCATATTCTTTAAAGAAGTATTTTGAAGAAGGCATTGCGAAGTTGTGCAACCTTCGCTTGGGTTCAGGAGCCCATATCTCTATCAGCGGGTCGATGAAATCCTTCCCCCACTTGGCTGCTCAGCCTCAGACGCTAGGCACTACTGTTTTACAAACTGTTAATCCCTATAGGGGCACTGGCTTGAACTGAATTCTTTTTTGCACCGTATCTTACAGGCATGCAAACAGTACGCGGAAGACAGATATGGGGTCACACCACTTCTTTGGAAGAAAAGCGCGCGAAGGCACTAAGCTCTAGAAGGTGCTGCAAGGAAACACCCGCGCCCCTTCTAGCCTTCTACGGAGAGTTTTCTACCCGCCAGCAGGAAGCAAAAGTGGAGCGTCCTGAAGCTCCCTTTGCAAAAGAATTGTGCTTCTCTCGATTATCGATTGCTACTGACTGTGTCGGGACAAAGTAAAGCATACTCCGCCTGCCCCTGCGTGGGGGAGGCGGATCCCGCATATACCAGTGGCTAGGTGCTGAAATCTCATTCCCCACAGGGTAGGCAAGTTCAAGCAAGCCCCACCTACCCCATGACGGTAACGCAACGACAATTTGCCCGGAATAAACGGGGAATTGGGCTACGGCCTAGCGCACAAGAACTACACTACGCACGCCCCGAGCCTCGGGGGCAAGTGCGTTCTTTCAGTGGGAATAGCAGACAGCGTAGTTGCAGCCGCATTCACTTTTTAAACCTCTCACTTTTCCTACCAGAATCATGGAATCGTAATCATATGGCTTAATAATGGATTAAAAAGCATTAATACGGGATTCCTGCTGCTTTCTGGGGCAACTCACTTGGGAGGTCTCTACCTGACTTCGTTATGTACTGCGTGCACGGGGGTAGAGGAGTGCTGGAGGGGAGAGGGCAGCAGCAACAGGCGTCAGTGAAGGGAAAATATGGATTGCTAAGCCGTTTTCTTTTGCACAATCCTTATACCCTGCTTCGCACTGTATCTGCAGGTTTCTCGTCTCAAGCTAAGAGCCTAGCTCACTGGAGGGTGCGCCCCTGTACTCTACAATGAACTCCCCAAACGGGGAACAAGGGCACTGGTATTTTGAAGCGTAAACGGGGGAGGTCGCTGAACGAGAATTCAGCGCTGTAATTTACAACCCAGATGATGTCACTGGGGCCCCCCGCACAGTCACCCATCGTTCGCTTCAGTCCTACAGCTGTGCCATGTCTGACTAATTTGTCCTGCAATCTAGCCATTGCGGAACCTGTAGTATTCCTAACATAGTTTGAACCTAAGCATCCAGGAAGCTGCTGCTGCGTACAGACCAAACTGAACAATACAAGACAGTCAAACACGCAATTACTAACATGACAAAGAAAGTCTGCTGGTCACGCAGTTTGGTGAAGCGTATGATATTGTCAAGGCTTTACCCAGGCGCCGACTTTGTTGCGCACATGGGCTTTCGAAAGCTCCAGTATAAGATGGAGGCCCGGTGAAAAGACGTGCGTACAGTACAAAAATAAACTAATCAATGGGGGAGAGCGCTGCTCCTGGGCGTTCCTGCTTCAGTTAGGGGCTGCTGTACAAGCCTCCATGCAGGAAGTACATTCTCAGTAGAAAAGCTGTGCCTCTCAAATCCCAGCTAGCCTGACAGTGGAGTCGAGGAAAGAACCCCCAATACACTAAGCAACTGAATAGGCGCTTAAGAGGCCTGTAGGTCCGGCAAGACCCGCTAACTCCAGTCATTGGATAGTGAATTTGTAGGTGAATTCGAGCGCCCAGTGCTGACCGAATGCAGTCAGGCGGCCCTCTGCCGCCAGCTAGTATGGGAGGGAAAGAGCTTCAAGCGGGTGCGGGCCATTGATTCTCCCTCCATCTGACAGATGTCCTTTGCTGCTCATACCCTGAACTGCCAGCACAGTCTAGTACGATTCAAATACAAAAAACCGACAAAGACGCCGAAAATTGGAGAACAGGCATTCCCGTCGCGAACACGCTATGCTTAGCTGTCCTGCTGTTAAGGAGTTCCTCCCCTCTGCACACTGTGGCAACTGCAGCCTCTAAATAAAATAAAGACGCCCAGAAAAAACTACAAAAGGCAGGTTCACGCAACTGACCATTGTCATGCCCGCAGAACCCCTCCTGTAGACCGAACCTCCCCGCAACAAACTTGCACCGGGAATGCGTCCGAAGACCGACCTTCGTAAAGGTTTGCCAATTGCAAAGAGGAGCATTCAGAGAAGCATGTCGTTGTAGCAACAACGGCAGCGCCATTGAGTAGCAGCACGTTACAGGAACTGCTACTTGTGCCCTCGAAACTGTACTGGTATTGCTGGGTGTTGGTTGGCGACAGTGTTCACCAAAACGCCGCCAGACCTAAAAGGATTGCTGTTGCAGGGAAGAGCACGCCGAAGTTGAGTGTCCCTGCAGACGTGCCCTTAAGACTGAAAGATTCTTTGATTTTCTCCCACTCTTCTTTGCTGCGCACAACAGATAAGCAGAAAATCCGACTTCTTATTCACAGTTGTTTGTAGGGCTCTGGGCTGTTTAGCAGTGTAGATCTAAGGAGAAGTAACGTACTTGAAAGGAGCTGGGCCCCCAAGTTCCAGTATTTCCGGCGTCGTCAAGCAGATCAGGCTGTGTGCGCTTTCCTTGGGTTTCTCAGTGTTCGGGTCGTCGTCACTGCTAGGCGAAGCAGAAGTAACCTTCGTGCAGGTGAAGACTCGGCAGTCTGCTGCTGCATTCTGTGAAGGGTTGTACAAGGCAACGAAAGAAATATTTTCTCGGCTGCTGTAGAGCTGCGTGCTCATGTCGTTTGCTGGGGGTAGCTCATATTGCACAAAGTTCGGGAAAGCAGCATTCCAGTAGTCCACTGCTTCAGTGCAGTTGGGGGATGCGGTTGGCAGTGCGAAGCTAGCATACGCGCTTTTGTAGAACAACTCATTGGTAACCTTTTGCTTTTCTGACTCCTGCAATGAACCGAAACAGGAAATGACTCATTCACGATTTCTCCTGCGAAATCATGCATCGAGCTTATGTGTAAACATCAGGAAACAAACATGCGACTTACAGAAAGTAGTGGCTCACAGGCGATCCCCCAAAGCTGAGCTGCAGAGTCGAGAGGGAGTTTCCCGCCTTGAGCCGTGGCTGTAGCCTGGGCAAATGGGGTAAGGCCTGCATGTTCGCGAGCGGCGTTAAGCGTGGGCAGGCATGCGCCTGTTTCCCCTGCAGAATTATCATACACCGCCTGAGAATTCGATTTATCATTCTGTGCAAGAAGAAACAGACGCGCACGCCGGTCTATCATCCCGCGTGTCCGTCCTCGGTGACCTCACCCAGCAGCACATATCCGATTCGTCATAAAGCGGCGGGCGTTATTACTGCACAAATGCCCAAAAAATTGAGAAACGCACCGACGTTGTGTTCGTAGAAAACAGATGGATTGGAAGCAGCGGACCCGGAAGCGTGAGCCTTGCCCAAAAGCAGCAGGGCGGCACTAACGCCGAAAAGGAACCTGTGAGGAGCCATTTTGGTCGAAAGAATACCAAATTTCCCTAGAGTGAAGAAGTCTAAAACATAAATGTGGAAACAACACGTTCGTTAGAAATGTGAGCGTACTCGGCAAGTGGTCTGCACTTATCGCCGATCGACGCACGAAGTTGCATGCCCTTAACTGAAAGAGGTTTCCGAAAACGGGAAAGAAAGCTCTTCAAATTTGAAATAAAACGCTGTCTTTGATTAAGTATTAGCGTTTATTTTTCATCACCAACAAGCCACTGGGCTGGTTGGCTTCATAGGGTATTTCTGTCCAGGTGTAGATACTCGGTATCTTCACAGATATTTCTACATCACCGAATCTAAATTTATTCTACATCCATTGTAGCAAGTGTATAGCGTGCTTTTCACTCCCCTTCTGGGGATCTTTGTATCTTCCCCTTAGGATACCAGCTCACTATTGATTACTTTAATGTAGTTTATTTTGCAAGGTTCTTGTTTCTTCAGTCAGAATTATTAGCTAGACAATGAATTATTTATGGAATAGAGGGAGAGCAAAGTAGCTCGCCTCCAGCAACTGCGGAGAAGGGATCTATGAAGATTCACCTTCAGAAAAGAGGACAGAGATAGGGAGGCGAGGCTGCAGTTGTTGCTGTTGCTTCCTTTATGCAGTCTTCTATAAGGGGCTTTAAAGATGTGTTCGTTGCTTTCTATAAACAGTTTCCTTCTATGGCAAAGTCGACTGAACTTTGCTGCTTTCTATAAACAATATCCCTTTAGAACAAAGTCTAATGAAGTTTATTGTCTTCTTAAAACAAACTTCTTCTATGACGGGGATAAATGATGCCTGTTGTTTTCTTTGAACAATATTCTTCTATGACAAATGTTAATTAAGTCTTTTGTTTTCTTTTCACAGTTTCCTTCTAAGGCAGTTTGGGCTTGATGTGTCTATCACAACCTCTTCTGCTCTGTCGGTTCTCCCCCCATCTCTTTTCGTATTTTCCTACTTATTTCACCAAGTGGCTGACCTACGAGGGTCTGCGCAAGCAGCAGCAGCAGCAGCAGCACTTGCTGCTGCTGTTGCTCCAGCAGCTGCAGCAGCAGCTGCAGCAGCAGCTGCAGCAGCAGCTGCTGCAACTGCTGCAGCAGTTGCTGCCGCGTGGCTTGCAGCATGCAGAAGAACGAAACACCCTCAGGGGCCCCGAAAGCCCGGGTGTCTCCGTCTCTAACAGCCTCTTCTGCCTTTCATAGCAGCAGGGGCTGTTGCTGCTAGATACTTCAGCAGCGCTTCAGCAAAAGTAACGATATTTTCTCTTGTATGCAACAGACACCCCGTTAGAGATGTTTCTGCTGATCTGCTCTCCAAGCACCGAAAGAAGGAGCCACCAAAGAGGGACGCAACGGAGCGCATGCAAACCCCTCACCACTTGGGGCTGGCAAGAAGAAGCCCCGAGTCCCCTGAAGACTCCAAGGGCCCCCGGGGCCCCCGGAGGCCCCGGGGGCCCTGAAGGGTTTGGGTTCCTGGCAGCGAATAACCATACCACAGCCTAAGAAGAAGCCGAAGGAGAGAGCGCCTCCAACCTGCAAGTAGAACAAAGGCTCTTATTGTTGTTTTATATTTAAACACCTCTCTTATAATCAGATCTCAGTTATCTGGGCTGAGTGGGGGAAAGGGGCGGGGGGGTGGTGTTTGTTGGTGGGGTTGTCTGCATGCATCTTCTCCTCTTGGTTGCCTCGATGCAAGGACTTCAAGAACTAAGGCTGCTGTTGCTGCTGCTGTTATTGCTGCTGCTATTGCTGCTGTTGCTGCTACTGTTCCTATTGATGCTACTCCTGCGGTCTGGAAACGACTAGGGCTTAGGGTTTAGGGTTTAGGGTTTAGGGTTTAGGGTTTAGGGTTTTGCTTGCCATAGAGAAGGGGAGAATAAGAATATTTCTGTTGGTGATCGCCGCATAGGCCCCGGTGATGCCACCAAAAATACCTCCGACAGCACAGCCCTTAAAAACGCAGCGAAGAGAGACAACAACACAACAACAATTGAACAATAAGAATAATAATTTAATAATAATATGCAGGAACAAAGACAGGCTAAGACAAACAAAGGAGGGTAGAGAAAGAGAGACAAGTATAGAGACAGAGACATAAAGACAGAGAGACAGGGAGACAGAGACAAAAACAGAGACACAGGCACAAAGAAAGAGAGTAAGAGACAAAAAGACAGACAGACAGACAAAGGCAGACACCGAGAGAGACAAAGAAACAAACAAAGACAGAGACAGAGCAAGAGACAGACGAAGAGATGGAGACCAAGACCGAGGCGTAGACGAACAAAAAAAGAGACAGAGACAAAGATAGAGACAGCAGCAAATAGAGGAGCGCATGAAGAAGTGCAGAGAAATAGATATAAACAGACAGAAACAAAGAAGGAAGCCACAACAAAGATAGAAAAGAGACAGCTCTAAGACATATCCTACCATCTTCATCCCCATCTTAACCCCGTCTATACACCCCCTTAAACGAGGGTTAGTGATGTGCCGATCAAGCCAAGAGGAAGAGTTGCTGCTGCTCTGCCTAATGAATTCAGAAGCATACTCTGAGTCCCGTACCCCAGAGCTCTCGTTGTACGGAGACCTGCAGCAGCAGCAGCAGCAGCAGGAGCCGCAACAGCAGCAGCAAAAGCGACAGATGCAGCAACAACAGGAGCAGCACATCACCATCGACATAATTCACAATGACAACAGCAGCACACATAACCCGTGCAGCAACAACAACAACAACGACAGCAGCAGCAGCAGCCGCAGCAGCAGCAACACAAACACAAGAGACAGCAGCAAACAACGGCAAGGCAACGACAACGACAGCTGCAGCAACACACGCAAAGGAGACATCAGCAAACGCTGCAACAAAAGCAACAGCAGCAGCAGCAGCAGCAGCAGCATGAGACGTACGTATATTTGGAGAAGTCCTCTGAGTTATAATCTGTCTCCTTTGTAGGCGGAGTGAAAGATAAAGAGACAGGCGCCCTTGAGGGGCCCCCAGAAGAGACAGAAGAAGCGGGAGGGGGGTCAGAGAAACCAGAGAAGGGACCCGATGGGATCGACGATCCCCGAGGCGGAGGCGCTGGCGAACAACACCGAAACCCTAAACCCCAAACCCTAAACCCTAAACCCTAAACGGCCCTAACAGTCGGCCCAACATATCTGTTGTGGTGCTGCAACCCCTTAGCTTTCTCCTTCGCTTTCGCTTTTGTTTTTGCAGCTCTACTGCTATTGCTGCTGCTACTACTACTGCTGCTGCTACTCCTGCTGCTGCTGCTGCTACTATTGGTACTGCTGCTACTGCTGCTGCTGCTACTCCTCCTGTTGCTGCTGCTTGTGCTGCTGCTATTCCTGCTGCTGCTGCTGCTATTCCTGCTGCTGCTGCTGCTGAGGTGCTGCAGCACAAGTCGTACGAGGGGGCTCGATTTGTAGGCCCGGCGGCAGCTCTGCGAAGACCTTCTCCGCTGGTGGGGTCTCCTGGGGGGCAGAAGAGCTGCCGAAGAGCCTAAGAGACAGCACCCACACTGAGAAGCAACTTGCTGCAGCAGCTGCTGTTGCTGCTGTTGCTGCTGCTCTAGATCAGGGCAGGCCCCATTGGCTGGGCTCTTGGGAACCCGCTGGGGTTGCTGCTGCACTTGATCTCAGCGCTGCTGCCGCTGCGGTCGCTGCTGTCACCTACTGCTGCTCCTGCTGCTGCTGATGCTGCCGTCAGCTGCTACTGCTACTGCTGCTCCTGCTGCTGCTGCTGCTGCTGCTGCTGCGAAGGGCCCCGTCACTTACCAGCTCATCTTCCTTAGAAGTGTAGCAGCACTTCAGCAGACAGCTTCCAAGGAGAAGATCCCATAAATAAAAAATCAAATGCAAGCGGTCTCAGCTAAAACACATCTGCAGCAGCAGCAGCAGCAGCAGCAAGCAACTCGCGCTGCTGGGGGCCCCACAGTACCTTTGGGCGGGGGTTTAGGGGGCCACCGC